ACTAACCCATCTTTATTTTGGTTAGTATAGAAGAGTCCTAAGTCTTGAGTACCTCGAAGGTATCTTAGGAGATGTTTTATACCGTTCCAGTGCCTCTGAGTTGGAGATGAACTATATCGAGCGAGGAGGTTCACGGCGAAACATATGTCTGGTCTAGTGTGACTAGCCAGGTACATTAACGCTCCTACAGCACTGAGGTATGGCTTTTCAGGACCAAGGATTTCTTCATCATCCTTTTGGGGACCAAGAGGGTCATCACTTAAGCTTCTAACTACCATTGGGCTGGTCAATGGGTGAGCTTGGTCCATATTAAATCGCTTGAGTATCTTTTCGATATAAGCCGATTGATGCACAAGGATTCCTCCTTTGATGTACTCAAGTTGTAATCCCAAACAGTACTTTGTTTTGCCTAGGTCTTTCATTTCGAATTCTGCTTTTAAGCAGTCGACTGTTTGGGAGATCTCACCAGATGTTCCGAGGATGTTTAGATCATCCACGTATACTGCTATGATTACAAATCCTTTGTTTGAGTACTTCTTGATGAAGATGCATGGACTGATGGGGTCATTTTTGTAGCCTTCTTTGATGAGGTAATCGCTGAGGCGGTTGTACCACATACGCCCACTTTGTTTCAGTCCATACAAGGATTTGTTCAGCCTGATGCAGTATTGATCTCGAGATGCATTTTTGTCTTTTAGTTCAATACCATCTGGGAGTCTCATATATATTTCGTTGTCCAGGGGCCCATAGAGATATGCGGTTACAACATCCATTAACCGCAGATCAAGATTTTCTCTTATGGCCAGACTTATGAGGAATCGGAATGTTGTTGCATCCACCACTGGAGAATAAGTCTCCTCATAATCGATTCCGGGTCTCTGTGAGAATCCTTGTGCTACAAGCCGTGCTTTGTATCGAACGATTTCACCGAGTTCGTTCCTTTTGCGCACAAAGACCCATTTGTGGCCCACTGGCTTGATGTGTGATGGGGTCCGGATGATCGGACCGAACACGTTTCTGAGTTTGAGACTCTTTAACTCCACGTTTATGGCTTCTTTCCATTTTAGCCAATCTGTTCGATGTGTACACTGTGTTATTGACGTGGGTTCTAGATCCTCTTGCGTGAGCGCAACATCAAATGCTACTTTGTATGCAAAGAGTGCATTTAAGTCGACTTCTTTTCGATTCCATTGTATTCCGGACATATTGTAATTGATGGAGATCTCATTGTTATCTTCTGAACCTGGAGATTCGGCGTCCCGAACTTCCATTGAGGGTTCATTAGATTGAGTCTCAGCCGCGGCTATGTCTGATATTGCAGGAATCCCGGTTTCGGTTATTGCACCTTTCTTTGATTTCCGGGGATTCTTATCTTTGGAACCGAGAGGTCTGCCCCGTTTGAGACGTGGTGCAGACTCTGTAGCAACTTGGGTCTGTCCCGTTGGGACAACTATTCGTACTGGTGCATTACAAGCTGGGATGTACGATTTGGTTACTTTGGTCGGGTCAGCAAAGGAATCTGGCAATTGATTAGCTAGCTTTTGATAATGAATAATCTTTTGGATCTCTGAATCACATTCTAGAGTCCGAGGATCTTGCCAATTTAATGATGTTTGATTCCATGAAAGATCTTTGACCAGCTTGTTTGTCTCACCACCTAAAGAGGGATATACCGATTCATCGAATTGGCAATCCGCATATCTGGCCTTGAAGAGATCTCCAGTGGTTGGCTCGAGATATCTTATGATGGTGGGAGAGTCAAAACCAACATATATTCCCATCCTTCTTTGAGGTCCCATTTTGGTTCGATGTGGTGGAGCAATGGGTACATATACTGAACACCCAAATGTTTTGAGATGGGAGATGTCTGGCTCATGACCCGAGAGTAGTTGGGATGGGGAATATTTGTGTTCACTAGATGGCCGGATGCGTATGAGTTCAGCAGCATGTAATACTGCATGTCCCCATGCTGAGGCCGGGAGCTTTGATCTCATGAGTAATGGTCGGGCTATCCATTGAATGCGTTTAATGAATGATTCAGCCAATCCATTTTGAGTATGGACATGTGCTACAGGATGTTCCACGGTTACCCCCATGGCCATACAGTAGTCATTAAACGCTTGTGAGGTAAATTCACCAGCATTGTCAAGGCGGATAGTCTTTAGTGGGAAGTCAGGGAAATGGGCCCGCAATTTTATGATTTGGGCCAAGAACCTAGCGAAGGCTTGGTTTCGAGAGGACAAGAGACAAACATATGACCAACGGGTCGATGCGTCTATAAGGACCATGAAGTACCGGAATGGTCCGGAAGATGGATGTATAGGTCCACAGATATCGCCCTGGATTCTTTCTAGGAAATGAAGTGTTTGTTTAGAGATTTTAACTGGTGAAGGCCGAGTGATCAATTTGCCTTGAGAACAAGCTGTGCACATGAGGTGTTGAGGATAAGCTCGGTTTTCTTTGAGGGTATGCCCTTGAGAGTTTTGAATTAGTTTACGCATCATATTTGCACCGGGATGACCGAGCCGGTCGTGCCAAATAGTATAATCAGTAAACCGGGCTTTGAGAGTGGTATTAGCTTCAATCATACTGACTTTAGCATGGTAAAGTCCAGTAGAGAGCGCGGGTATGGTTTCGAGGATTTGTTTATGGCCGTCTACGGTTTTAGTGACTAGGAGGGATTCTTTGTTCCCTTGACCTTGGGTTTCTATGTGGAAACCATTCTGTCTTATATCCTTGAAGCTCAGAAGATTTCTCTTCGAACTAGGAAAATATAGAGCATCTGGTATTTCAAGTTGTGTGCCATTTGATAGCAACACATAGGCATGGCCATATCCTTCGATAAGGTTTGAGGGACCCGCGATGGTGCTAATATTTGCGGTTTGATAGGTTAGGTTTATGAAGTAACTTTTGTTTCTTAAGATAGTGTGGCTGGATCCACTATCTACGACTATGGTTTCCATTTGCTGGTGTGCTTTTCCACCTTTGGATTTCTGACAGGCTAATGAAACTGGGAGCTAATAGACCTCAGTTAGCCGCTACAAATTCCAAGGATTGATCACCAAAACTGGAGAAGCTGCTGGTTGAAGAAGGAAAAACTCGGATCTGGTTTTTTTTTTTTTTTTTTTTCGGTTGATCGTCGTGTACTGTAAGTGTGCGTGAGGGCGCGTCCGACGTTGGATCGACAAACGGTTTTCACCAGTAGATTCGTCTCGTCGAGGGCTTCGATTTGATATGTAGATCGTCTTCTGGTTCCTCACGGTTTGGAAGATATGCGTCTTTTAAGTTTCGACTTGCTTTTAGGGTTTTGGTGGTGACCGGATTTATTAGGGTTTTTCGCTCAGAGAGTCTTATCGTGCTGATAACGTGTTGTGAAAACTTAGAAACTTTATTAATCACTGGAATGTATATATAGAGTACATAGGGAATCTAGGTTAAGTACAATGCCCTGATGGGCCTAATGGGCCGGTATAAGAGTCCATATATGATATGTGTTATAACAGATTTATATTTTTTTTTTTTTGGGGGTCGAAAAACAAGTTTATGTAGGAACCTAAAATTTATACTCTTTAAATCAGTTATCTCACAAGACTAAAAGAAATTCACCATTCTGACAATTTTGAAACCATATGGACTAAATTCATTGAATTTGTCATAAAGCATAAGTATCTTCGTTGCGTTATTATCCAAATTCAAATCTGCTTAATAATTTTTAAATATTCAATTGGCATCTAATATATGTATATATTCTGATCTAAAAACTCATAAATATTGCTACATATATATCGTGGACAGTGCATAATAATCCAAGCGAGTCAGGTATATGTTCTTTTTTATTTATGAAATGTTTGGAATCTGTCATCATGATAAGTTATTTATTCCTTTAACTGATTTGATCCCTAAATTATGCTTCCAAAATAGCAGAAAATTCAGTGAGGTTGAGGAAATGTCACGTCCAGACGATATAGTTTTTGGTTTCTTCTGAATATAATAAACTAAAAACCTAACAAATAAGACAACCCATCCTTTTAAGAAAAATATAATGTCGTTATTATATATTAATGTCATCTAGAAGGTCAACTGGATGTGACCGAAGGTATAAATGAATAAGATTTCTCTTTTTTTTGTTTTTAACATTGAATAGGACTGATAATTAACGTAGTTTTATTAAAAGTAAGAGGAGAAGAAATATCTTGATCTCTTTCGACGGTTAAAAGAATTACTTCTACATCTATGGGCACAAAACAAAACTTTGGAAGGGTGCAAATGGTTGTGGTTTTAGAAGAATAAAGGAAACTAAATTAAAGATTAAGCCGAAATTTCACCATTGACAAAAAAATGAAATTTCACCATTGACAATAAAAGTGAGTAATAAGTTCCATTCGTTATGCTGAAAAAAATGACTCTAGAATTTACTTTATTTTATTTTTATTTTTCTCAACTACACAGTTAAAATTATTATTTAACTTATCTAGGAAATTAGAGAAATAGATCATTCGGCTGAGAAGTACAAAATCTTGATTAATTATGAACAATCTGTTTTTAAGTCTAGGCTCTCTATAATCATGTTTTACATGCTCAACGTATAGCTTATAACTGCAAATAAAGCGAATATTTTTTTTTTCTTTCGTCTAACGAGTCCAAAGTGTCATCCGGGTAAAACAATTATGTACTCTTATTGACACCAAAATAAAACTTTGGAAGTGAGAAAAGATAGATTTTCTATTTTCTTTTTTGGAAAAAATAATTTCGTGGAAAACTAGTTCAAAAGACGGTAGAAAACTATGGTATATCAGTTTATATGTTCAAAAATGGAAACATACTACACAGACAATTTCACATTGTATGACAAAATTATATTATGTTAACAACTCCGATTATTCAATATTACAATGGACAAGTAATCGAAAAATACGAATATTAAAAGTCTAAAAGACTGAAACACTAATATATTACAAAACACCAAATTATCCATTTACAATGGAAAACTAGTTGAGAAATAAAAAATACCAAAGCATCATTACAATGGAAATAACACTAATTTTGAAAAAAATGGCACACAGTTTCAACGGCAAAGCAATCCTAAGCACCACGTGCCAAGTCCCTGTCACGTTCCAGAAAGCGCACACACTCGTCCGTGACTCTGCAAAGCGACTCGTGCGCTGAACCACCACCGTCGATGCTCAACGACATCTCCGCCGAATCTCTCAGCCTCTTCACCTTCCTCCTCATCTCCTCACCTTCCTCCTCCGCCATAACCTTCCTCACAATAGCCTCAATCTCCGACCTTGAAATCGCCTCCGGAAAACGATCCGCTCGGACGGCGATCCCGAGTTCATCGCTGAGAAGCGCCGCGTTCATACTCTGCTCGGCGAAAAGAGGCCACGCGATCATCGGAACGCCGCTAACGACGCCTTCTAGCGCCGAGTTCCAACCGCAGTGGGTCAAAAACCCACCAACGGCCCGATGGGCCAAAACTTCAGCCTGTGGGGCCCATGACGGGACCACGAGACCTCTATCGCAAGTCCGAGTCACGAACCCTTCCGGTAGATACTCCGGCGTGCTGTCCCTGCTGCCGTCGCCTTTAACCGAGAAATACTCGCTTGAAGACGATCCGTCCACGGGCGGTCGAACCACCCAGACGAACCGTTGCTGGCTCTGCTCGAGCCCCCACGCCAGTTCGGTTAGCTGATTAGCCGTTAGAGAACCGCCACTCCCGAAGGAGACGTAGAGAACCGACTCATCTGGTTGCTCGTTTAACCAATCCAAAACCGGGTGATCGGTCTCGGATGATTCTACCGGTCTGCATAACGGACCAATCGGGTAAACCGGTACACGAGCCACCCGGCCCAAAAGCTTCGGGTCTTGAAGGGATTTTAATGATTTGGGCTCAATCTCTTCCCACGTATTCACCAGAATGCCATCCGCCTTTGGGTAAGCCAGACAGTGACGAACGAAATCACGGTAAAGCGGTTCGTCCGGAACCAGGTACGCGTCCATGGTATCTTCGAAGCGAACCGGCTCGCATCCCGGTACATCAAGCGGTTTTCTTTGCACCGTGTGCTCCTCTTTGAGATCTTGATCCAAAGTTGGATAATATAAAGCGACCCCGACATAACGCGCGTTGGAAGCGATTAGCACATACGTCAACATGTTGAACTCAGATGCGAGACACAAAGCGTCAGTGCCAAACAAGTCGACGATCAGAGCCGTTGGTTTTTGATGCATCGCAGCGAGCTTTGATCGGAGGGCTGGGACGGCTTCGCGCATAATGGTTCCTATCTTGGTCACCACGTGGTCTGCGGGGTCCACTAAATCAGAAATGTCCGGCAAAGGAAGATTGACGACGTCGACGTCGGTTGAGTTAAGGAACTTGGACTGAGCGGAGGCTGCGTCGTTTTCGAGGACGAATAAGGTGACGCGGAAGCCGTGGTTAGCCGAGAGACGTTTTGCGAGCTCCATCACCGGGATGAGGTGGCCCATTCCTGGACTCGAAAACATGGCGGCGTGTGGTTTTGTGATCTGCATTTCTCGTCGTCTTCTTCTTCTTCTTTACTTGTTGTTGATGATGATGCTTTTCTATGGTAGCTGCGCTTGGGCTCATTTATAGCCTGCCAATTCTATATAGTTTATTTGTAAATGAAACTATTGATAATTGTTGTACCCAGTCTTGGTCAAGATGACCAAAATCTGTAATTTATTTATTGTTATACGACTAGTTTGTAATAGCGAATCTCTATATTATTATAGGATTTCTATGTTTGGTTCGTTTGTGAGGTGTATATTTAAGCATTTTAACAAAAAAAGTAAAAAAAAAATTATCTATCAGCTTTAAAAAAAATCCATTAATTAATATGCACAGATGCTGTTAATTTAAAATTGGATTATGGATTATCAACAAGGACCATAAATGTTTAAGCCGTAGTTTTTATTAAACTACCATCTTAAGGGTGCACATGGCCTTACAAAGACTTTAAATGTCGTTTAGTAATAATCCTTTAATTTAATATGCACAGATGCTGTTAATTTAAAATTGGATTATGGATTATCAACAAGGACCATAAATGTTTGAAGAAGTTGATATCATTTTAGTCTTTTTTTTTTTATTGGAAGCATTAATAAAAGTGATAAATTCGTGGAAAATAAAAAAATATTATTGATTAATCGTATTTTTTGTTGGTGGGATAAAAATAATAACAAAACGTGATTTTGCAACAAAGAAAACATGTTGAGTAAAACCTATAAAATAGAAAATAATATCACTATGCTCTTACTCTTTATAATTATATAAATTAATAAATATATGATTATCTATACAAATTTCTTAAGACTCGATGGAAATGTTACATATTAATTTTCATTACTTTTTTTCTTATGACCGATTACTTTAAATTTTAAAGAAACACAACATTATGAAATCGTTTTGTTGGTATTAAGAAAATGTGCTCTTTTTAGCCAAGAAGAAAAGAAAGTAAACTGTGTTTTTTACAGATCGAGCAGAGTGCAGTGCACGATGGTCATTGACGCCTTGGTCAGGTCGACCATATTGAAATCTGGAGTAAAGACCGGTGGGAGTCTTTGTTTTTACTTTTAGTGCCCACGTCCAACATCCCTGAAATCAACAGAATTGTAATTACAATCCACACGGATAACCTAAATGTAAGTTATAGTTCTATTTTTTTTTTTACTTCTATAGTTCTGTTATATTTATCAGAAAATAATATGAACCCACACAACTTATTTTCTTATACTTTCTATAAAATACGCAAGTATACGTTTGGATATACGGTTAATTTGTTTATTCAGAAGTACATATCACTGGAAAAATTCAATTCATATATAATAAAAGTAAACTGAATTTTTAAACATAAAACGAGATCATATTCAATGAATATGTCATGCGAATGTAGCTATACATATATAAGTATGGGATTTAATTTGTGTTGGTAAGATAAATATAGTGAAATTAAAAGATAAATATAATGAAACAATAGTTCATAGAACTTAATGTAACTATACGGGTCTAAAAGACTAAGCGTATATATATATACATAAGCTGAAATTTGTATATCTTTTTAAACTCGGGATTATAATATGTAATATAAATTTATCGTGAAAAACTACTTGAATTCAAATGCTAAAAAAAAAAAAACATATATACGTGTACGTGACAAAAAATAAAGAGTTATATGATTGTCTGTATCATTTACATAAAATAATAAAATATCGTCGATAGATTGGTTCCTCGCAAGATCTAGCTACCACCACAATTGTCCTATATAAACCACCAATAAATATTTTCAGAAAAATTAATACATTTTTTTTTGTCAAAGACTACATAACGCAATACTATGATATCTAGAGTATGATCATGTGTTTGAGAAAATATAATTTGAGACATATATATAGAAAATGACCAAAATTACCACATGATCGGACTCACGTTGAAGATGGTGGATCACATGCCCCATAGTATTTTATTTTAACTAATTATTTTTGATATTACCAGTAATTTTTTATAACAGCAATATTGACCATTAATACGCATATATATTTCAACTGTCAATATGTATACACATCTATCGAAAAATGGAGAAGAAAACAAAACTTTAGGAGAGAAGAAATATAATTAAGTGTTTTGATTATATGATTAAAGCACCTAAATTCGCAGGAAAGCAGTTACAACCATTTCCGTTTCTTACAAACCTAACTTACCTTCTTCACTAACTATGCATTATCATGTATTTGATTGCTGGTAACAAATTGGCCACGTTAGTTGATCACCGGCATCTCTTACTTTGATCATTAATCCAGCAAATGGCCAACAAGTTACAATCGCCGACGAAAAAAAAAAACATAAAAGTAATCTGTTTTAACTTATCGTTCGTTATTTTCAAGGTGAACGTAAGAAACTTAAATTGAAATACAACTGGGTTAATCTTTAAATCGGGAGTCGGCTAATAGTTTATTTTTACGTTGACTAACAAAAATGTAGGTGACAAAAATTAATCATTTCCATCCCCACTCCCCTACAAATTATCATATTGCAGTTTTCTTATAATTGAAGACCACTCCAAAAAAATAATGCGGCGGTGCGTGATTCGCCATGATATATTTATTCATTCAAAGCATATTGTATGATTATGGCGGCTAGCGAAAATCATCATCTAATCGTAAATTATAATTGGACAATTGTTGTTGAAAATTTCCGCTTAGTATATAATTAATTCCAGGCTAATACGGCAATACCCGATAAACAAATTTTTTTTTTTGGTCTTATAGCCTAGTGTTTATAGTTTAAAAGAAGAAAAATTCTTGGGTTCACCTCTACAGGTGAATTCATTCATTCACTCTCTTTCATTTAAGCCAGTGAGAATCTGCCATGTAATATTATCTTTAAAGAAAAATAAAAAAGAAAAAATAAAAAATTAAATACTCAATCAAATATTTTGTTAAATATATATCTATAAATAATATATATAAAGATTTGAATTTACGATTTAGTTTTTATTTTAATTTTTAAGGTTTATAAATTATGATTTAGAGTATAAAAATTAGAATTTTGGATTTAAAAATTAAAAATCAGAGATCAGGGTTTAAATTCTAAAAATAAAACAAATATATATATATATATATTAAAAATAAAAATAAATATAATATAATATTATGCTTGGGTTCACTATTTCTAATTTAGGTTTTAGTTTTTCTTTATTTAAAATTCCAAAAATGAAACAAATAATTATGTAAAAATATTTTTTTATTAAAACTAATTTTACATAAACTATGTTTGGGTTCACCATTTCCAAATTAAGATTTAGTTTTTTCCATTGAAAAAATAATTTAATATTATGTTTGGGTTCAATATTTCATTTTTAGGGCTTAGTTTTTTTTCATTTAAATTTTGAAAATAAAACACATAATTATGTAAAAATATATTTTTATTAAAAATAATTCATCATAAACTTTAATATTATGTTTGGGTTCACTATTTCTAAATTAGGCTTTAGTTTTTTCTTATTTAAAAAAAATATTTAAAATGTGTTATTTTGGTAAGTTATTTTAATTGATTTTATTATATGGCAGATTCTTATTGGCTAAATTAAGAGGGAGTGAATGAATGAATTCACCCATAGGGATGAATCCAAAAATTGTCCTTAAAAGAACCAGTACGAAAAAAATCATAGAAATTCTATAATATTTTTGATAAGGAGCCATATTGAAACCCGACCCACTTAGTACGGCTCGTCGTGATCCAATTAGAATCTCACGAGGGGGTGAAGGGTGAATCCAAAAATTGTCCTTAAAAGAACCAGTACGAAAAAAATCATAGAAATTCTATAATATTTTTGACAAGGAGCCATATTGAAACCCGACCCACTTAGTACGGCTCGTCGTGATCCAATTAGAATCTCACGATCCCCAATATTTCTGAGGCTTTTATGGTTTGGCCCATTTTGAATGTTTGTAGCAATAGGAAACGTCGTCGTTCTGGAGTGCGTGATCGTCAACGCCTGCTCCTGGCTACGATCGACGTCGGGTCTGCTTCTTCTTCTTCTTCTTCTCTCTCTCTAGTGGTCACTCACTCTACACCCGTGAACAAACCCTAGGAGGCAAATATGATGAACATCTCCAGATCCGTCTCGCTGATCTCTTTATTCCTTCTTCCGTTACTTAGCTTCTCGTTCTCCGTCGATAATCCGACCGATCGGCGTGTACTGGTTCTTCTCGACGATTTATCTCTTAAATCCTCTCATTCCATCTTCTTCAACACTCTCAAGTCCCGTGGGTTCGATCTCGATTTCAAGTTAGCTGAAGATTCGAAGCTCGCGCTTCAACGATACGGCCAGTACTTATACGATGGGCTGATCATTTTCGCCCCGTCGACAGAGCGTAAGATTTTCGATCTCTGAGTTTGCCGATGAATAGTTTTGCAGATATTGGAATCTGATCTGCACATATTTAATTTCCTTGTTTATAGGGTTCGGAGGATCCTTAGATTCGAAATCCATTGCTGATTTCGTTGATTCCGGTCGTGACTTGATCTTATCGGCGGATACTTCTGCGTCTGATCTGATTCGGGGAATTTCCACAGAGTGTGGGGTTGATTTCGACGAGGTTCGTCTCTTAGTACGTGGAAATGGAATTGTCTTTGTTTTGGAACAAAATGCAGCATATGATTTTGATTTAGTAGCTATTTGTCTCATTAGGATTCTTCAGCTATGGTTATTGATCATACCAGCTTCTCCGTCTCTGATGTTGACGGCGACCACACCTTGATTGCTGCCGAAGATTTAGTTAAATCCGATGTCATTTTAGGGAAAACCAAGATTGAGGTAACTTCCCTGCTTCCTAGCTGAGTTCTGTGACTAATACTCATAAGTTTCTTGTATGGATTTGGATTAAAGATAATGAATTGTAATCGGGGTTTCTGATGAGGGACACTTTAAGTTTATTCTGTGTTTGGTTTTTGGATTACAGGCTCCCGTGCTCTTCAGAGGGGTTGCGCATTCATTGAACCCTACCAACAATCTGGTGAGTCGAAGAACATGCCTGTTTCTTGTACAATATTACTGTTTCTTCATATCGATTACTATGCCTTGATGTGAGTATTAAATTTTGCCAAACCATGCCTCATACTCCATTGCTAGGTTTTGAAAGTTCTTTCAGCTTCTCCCTCAGCTTATTCTGCTAACCCAAGCTCGAAGTTGTTGAGTGCCCCCCAGCTCACTGGGTCTGCGATTTCGCTTGTGTCGGTCATGCAGGTCTGATAATTCGTTGTTCCCGTTAAGTCTTAATTATTATGTTCTTGGCTGTACTTAGCTCTCCACTTCTGAAATGCCTTGAGTTCACTGACTTCTTTATGTTTATTTTAAAACTGCAGGCCAGGAACAATGCTAGGGTTGTGATCTCAGGCTCTTTGCAGTTGTTTAGCGACAGGTGAGCAAAATGTCTGGTGGTATCCCTCCAGCTAATTCATGGATTTTTCTGATTCAGAGTTTTGTTTCCATGAGGCAGGTTATTCAGATCTGGCGTCCAGAAAGCAGGGAGTCCGAACAAGTAAGTAGACACATATTTCATCAAGTGAAACTTTTAGCTCACATGATCTGTAGGTACAAAGATTGAAGGGATTTTTGTTGTCAACGATAGATGGCCGTATCTCGTTTTGAAACAAGATTTACTGATCTTATATAAAACTTTTCCAGATATGAAAAATCTGGTAACGAACAGTTTGTGACTGAACTAAGCAAATGGGTCTTCCATGAAAGAGGCCATCTGAAGGTATATCATGGTCTTTTTCACTCGTTTTGCACACTCCTCAAAACCTTGGTAGCTAGAGATTGTTTGTTCAATTAATCATCTCATTTAGCTTCATTGGTACATTCCTCACCTATCTTCTGTGTCCAGGCTGGTAATCTTGTACACCATAGGGTTGGAGAAACAGACGAGCCAGCAATATATAGGATAAAGGATGACCTGGTATGGTTTCTACATCTTCCTACTCACCCAAAGTTCTGTGCTTAGGTGATAATCGCCTGGTAATCAAGTGGGAATCTGCGGCAATCTTTTAATGTGTCATTGCATGGCAGGAATTTTCTGTGGAGATATTCGAGTGGTCGGGGAAGAGCTGGGAACCGTATGTCGCAAATGATGTGCAGGTTCAGTTTTACATGATGAGCCCATATGTGTTGAAAACCCTGTCAACAGACAAGAAGGTGAGTTATTTGTGAGCTCCAAAACAGAGTCGTGCCTATTGTTTCGGATTAAAGTTGCTTTCAGCTATAGAAGTTAGAACTCAGCCTGCTTTGTTGCCTACTTTGCAGGGTTTGTTTCATACATCTTTCAAGGTTCCTGATGTCTACGGTGTATTCCAGTTTAAGGTTGAATATGAAAAGCTCGGCTACACTACGTTATCTCTTTCAAAGCAGGTGAGTAACAATCTCTTTAAGAGTTTTGCTAAACAGCTTTCCAGACATTAGAAATATGACAGTAAAAAAAAAATGCGGACATTTGCAGATTCCTGTGCGGCCTTACAGACACAATGAGTATGAGAGATTTATTCCAACTGCGTATCCTTATTATGGAGCCTGCTTTACCACTGTAAACCCCATACTTCCCTCTTCTCTCTTTGTCACACTCACAGCAGATAGAAGTTAACCTCTTAACACACTGTTCTTCAATGCAGATGGCTGGTTTCTTCGTCTTCAGCTTCGTCTACCTCTACCATAAGTAGAATCCCTTAAATGGTTCTCCTGTCGCATTGAGTAAGCCAAACCTTCATATTTAGATGAGAAAAAAAAACATTTGAACCTTGAGACCAGTTATTTTAATGCCAACAAGCTTTTCATCTGTCCTAGTTTTAGAAACACTTGCAACCTTTTTTGTTCCCCAGATGTTGTTTATGTTAACGTAACTCTTACACCCTTCCTCTGCTCTGTTTTCCCCTTAGTATGTCCGAGGCAGGTCACCATTTTTAAAACCCACAATGGGACGTGTCTGTTGGATAAGAAAATTTGGGGAATTTATAGTATCCGGTATTATGTGAATTATAAAAAATATTGGGGTAGATGTGTGAATAAGAATGTAAATAATCACCAAGTTACCAGCATGAATAGCGCAAAGTGTCAGGCATCTGTGTAAATAAGTGAAAGACAAAGAATGAATGCGTAAATAATAGGGACCCATGATAATAAGTGAAAATGAGGGCCCATATGTGAATATGAAAAAGTAGATTTATTAAACACTTAATTGTCGACTTTATGATATGTCGCATAGTTACTGTATGTGAAAAAAAAACACTAACAGATGGGTGCACAACGAAACGATTCAGAAACCACTTTTGTCTCCGTAAATCTACAATACACAAAAATAAAAATAAAAACTTTTCTCAAGACACTGATCGAGGAGTTTTATTTATTTTGTGTTGGTCGTCACTCGTCATACACTCATACTCCTAAATATTGTATAGCAAATTAATTCAGAAAGTATTTTTATATTTTTATAATCATGCGCATATGAATAACACAATAGTAAGGTTAGTAGGCACTAGGCAGGGGGCGTATAAAGTTGCGAAGAGAGAGAGAATTCATATGAATAAAGACGCTTAATTATAAGTAAGGCGAGTTGAGTAATTGCTCAGCGTGGAATAAGTCAAACTCGCTAGCCAATGGGGAAATCAAAGAGAAGACAAGTCAAAGACAGAAGCAGCAACTCAGTTGTTTCTCTCTTCTTCTTCTTCTTCTTCTTCTTCTTTCCCAATCAATCGCTCTCCTTCTCCACTCTCTCTGATTCTTTGTAATTAGTAAAGATTTGAGATCAATCTTCTCCACATCCACATCCACATTGAGCGTCAGGTACTTACTGACCTCTCTTTTCTCTCCGATCCTCCGGCAACGAAAGCTCTTTTCTTCAAGCTCTCCAAGTCAAAATATTTTGGGGATTTGATTCCTTCCCTCACTCTGTCCATGTTTCTTGGATTATTCACCAAAAGCATGGAAGACAAATCAAATTCCAGCAGGAACAGAAGCAACACCCCACCCCTTGAACAGATCCGAACAGACATGGGTTCCTTATACTCGGCAGATCTTAGTGCTTACAAGTCAGCTTGTAGAGAAGATCCAGATTTGCAATCCTTCGATTCCTCGCTTCATCAACGCACCAACCGAGTCATCAACTCCCTCGCCTCGGGTGCCGAAACTCGGTCTTTGTCCTTCGACGCGCTCATAGAAGTCTCTGGCTGTCTTCTCGAGATGAACCAAGAGGTCGTTAGGTTTATCATCGAAAGCAGAGAAGATGTGTGGGACAACAAAGATTTGACATGTTTGGTCAATGCTTATTTCGACAGCAGCATCAAGACTTTAGATTTCTGCAATGCTGTTGATCACTGTGTGAAGCGAGCCAGGATAGGCCAGATGATCATTCAGTTTGCGGTTAAGCAATTTGAGATCGAGTCTTCAGCGAAAACATCCGTCGAGCCTGGTACTAATAAGTACGCCAAAACTTTGCAAGAGCTCAACAAGTTCAAGGCTTCTGGTGATCCGTTTGACGCAGATTTCTTCTTGCTTTTTGAGTCGGTTTACGAGCAGCAGGTTTTGCTTCTTGAGATACTGCATAAACAAAAGAGGAAGCTTGACAGGAAGCTTAAGAACATAAAGCATTGGAAGAAAATATCGAATGTGGTTTTCGTGACTGCATTTGTCTCTGTTTTGATCTTCTCTGTGGTTGCAGCTGCTATAGCTGCACCGCCCGTCGTGACCGCGGTTGCAGCGGCATTGGCGGTTCCAATCGGGTCCGTAGGGAAATGGTGTAATCATCTTTGGAGCAAGTATGAAACTGCTGTCAAAGGACAGAAAGATATTGTTTTGTCGATGAGGATTGGTGCTTATGTTACCATGAAGGACATGGAGAACATTCGAGTCCATGTAGATAGGTTGAAGATTGAGATGGAATCGATGATGCACAAAGTTGATTTTGCAATCAAGGAGGAACAAGAAGAGGCGGCTGTTAGGCTTTCTATGCACGAGATCAGCAACAAGTTTGATGTTTTCACAGAGAGAATAGAGGAAGTGGGTGAAAACGCGGCAAAGTGTAGCAAAGATATCACATTGGCGAGAACAATCGTCCTTAGGCACATTCTAAGTTTCCCCTCAAGTTCAGATTCTGAGCAAGGAAACTTGTAAGTTGTTGTTTTCCAAAAAACATTTTAATCTTGTTGGGGTTTGTGTAAAGTTTGAATCTTTTTTGGCTAACTTCTTGCACTCTTGTTTTTATCAGGATTGAGGCTATCACATTGTGATAAACCCTATAAATGTACCGATGGTTTTGAGTAGACGCTATGTGGTATGTCACATACAGTATATAGCTTATATATGTTCTACAGAGTTGTGTACCAGCTCCTGTATACATCTGTATCTGTTTAGCAGGTGGCTTCACAACATCATGTATAACACAATTGGAAATAAAATCCCAAGTCGATATTGATGTTTACTGTTTAATATTGTCTGAGAGTTGTTGATTAGCCTACAGAGGAAGCAAGTTAAGAAAAGATACTTACAAATGTGGTCCTTTTTGGAGGCTTTATCTAACGTATTAGTTGTTAGTAAAAGGCGCAAGTCTCTGCAGTCTGCATTTGATATAATTTGATGTGATACTTCAACCAACTCCACCAATGACATTTACTATCAAAACTTTTCACAAAAAAACATATAACAAAAGACCGAACCATATGACGTCTAACTGTTGATTCTGATCAGATAATTTTTTCTTTTTCTCTTCAAATTCACCTGAGCCTTGATCTTACGCTCTTCTTGTATGTTTTATTTTTAACTTGTCTCATCTCGGAAACTCTGGTGTAAGCAATGGTGTTTTGTGGATTCTTGTCGGAGCTCGTGAATTGTTGGAAATCAAGAGTTAACAAGAATGGAACCAACACTTCACCGGTTAAGAAGATGGTCCGAACAGATATGCGGTCCAAATACTCATCAAACCTGACTTCTTACATATCCGCTTGTCAAAAAGACACCACCCTTAAATCCTTTGATTCCTCGCTTCACCAACGAACCAACAGAGTCATCAGCTCCCTAGCTGCTCGAGGTGAGACACAGTCTTTATCACTAGAATCGCTCATGGAGGTCTACGGGTTCCTGCTTGAACTAAACCAAGAAGCGGTAAGGCTCATTATTGAAAGCAGAGAAGACGTCTGGAACACATCCTTTGCTTTAGGGAGGCTTGTAGTTCTGGAACACATCCTTGCGTCGCCCGCCAATTCAGTTTCGTAGAAAAGGGAACTTGTACAAATCATCCATCAATGGGCGTTTCCAGACAGTAAGTAATGTTAAAATAGTTATGTTCACTCAAGACTCGGGCTGTAAAATTGGGCTTATAAGTTAGGCTTTTATGGCCCACTATAGTTTGCCCATTTGAAAGATCTGTTTTTTTTTTTAATAAATAATATTGTTTTTTTTTTAACATAAATAATATTGTTTTCTTTCTCTTTTTTCTTTTGGTTTGCATTCTCTAACATTTAAAAATTAATCTTATAGAAATAAGAAATTTTCAATTCGAATACATAATCCAGTATGATAATTTTTAGTATTTTTTTCTAATAAAGATCATTTTTATAGTTTATTGTAAAAATTAAAACATTAATAAGAATAAGTTAGTGATGTGCATCTGGTGATATTTTGTAAAATATCCAGATAATCAGTAATGGTTTTGAATTTGATTAAACAAATGATAAATGAATCTACATCAACTCATCAAGTGTTAATCTTGGATAATGGGACGTAGAGAAACAGAAACAAAAGTTTATGTGTAGTGTTACCATTTTTATTTCAGTTTTTCACTATTTTAGTGTGTTTACAAATTACAAAAATGACAATAATAAAAAAAATATAAGTGTCTGAAAAGGAAAAAAAATTCCCAAAAAAATATAAATATCTTTGGAGAGAGATTTTTTAAAACGCCTGAAAAGTTATGGAAAAGAATCGGTTACTTCGTAATTTGGACAACAATTGGAATTAACGGTCAAAAAAAGGAGAGTGGGAAAATGATGAATAAAAACAGTAAGGTTAGTTCAACTGGGGAAGGTAGCTTCGTAAAAAGAAGGAATCAAAATGTTTTAATGTATTAATTTATAAAAATAACAAAAACAAAGAGACCCCACTAGAAATTTAAGTAGTTGGAGCCTCCTCGTGAGAGTTTGGTACTAAACAAACAAAGAAAAAAGCAAAACGAACCCTCCTTAGATATCAACTCCCCAACACTCTCACACACACACTCATCGATTCCAAAGCCTCTCTTGCATTATACGTGGCGACTCGTTTACGTGTGTCCTCCTCACACATTTATTAGTTACTCACCCTCCTAATTTTCCAACCTTTAGTTTCCGTGTATATTGTCTTTTTTTTTTTGGTTAATTGAGATTCTCCGAAACGCAGGTCAAATTGTTCTGAAACTTAAAGCTACCTTCAACGTCAGTTTTACGGTAATGTGGCCTTGAAATAATTATCTCTTCGGTTTGAAGACCAAAATTCGTATTTTTCCATAATTGATCTTACTATAAACATTTTGAAATGACGAAAATATCTAACTCACATGCATGTTTTGGAGATTAGTTTTGGCTTTTAAGTAAAAATATCTTGGATATAACTTAATAGTAATAAAACAATAACGACAATTTTTGTATATCCACACCACCAACTAAGCAGAACTCCATGTTTCAATGAAACACAAACTAAATGTTGAACTTTTTTACTATGTATTTCTTAGAAAACTGGTTTATGATTATTTTTATGGATTTATGTAGTAATGCCTATTTTGTTTCTAAACACTTTCTAATTAAAGACTACAATATAAACAGATATCACATTCCCCATGTTACTCATCACACATACCATTGTCTTCTACTACGATTTTTTTTTTTAATAAAGATGTGACAACTGCAGATTTTCGAACAAGGCATTGTTGCAATAGGAATCGGTCTCTCGTGTCTTCGTAATCTAGCACTGGAATATTCCTCATTGGCTTAATATTTGAAAAAGATAAAAAAACCCTCCGAATTTATATTTTAATAACAAAAAAAAACAGAGATGATGCTAGAACTTATCTAAATCTACGTGTTATGGAACACCGCATTTTAAAAGATAATACACTTTTATATCAAAAACCCGTTTTAGAGTATTGACAATTTCATTTAATTAAAAGGGTTTCTAGACGAATTAGCATGAGAGAACAATTTTAGTAATGTTAATTGCTAAAATAATAAACAAAAATAGAAAGCAGAGTGGACGAAGATGATTGGTTTAGAAAGACTTCGCGTGTTAAGAAGATTTTCTCCAAAGATCGGACGGCAATGCGTGTCTGGTCGCTTATGACGTCGAAAACTTAGCTTGCCACGTGTACGATCATCAGCATTAGCTGACCGATATAATGTTTAATCCCGTGACATGACGATCTAATCTCTCCCTCAATTTATCACGCTCTGATTTCTCAAGAGAGAAATAACTCAATATTGGTTACCCAAACTTGGAAAAAGCGAGGATTTTTTTCTTTTCCATTTAATAATTTCGAGTTTGATGTTCAGTATAATCATAAATTACTACACTATTATTACTTACATGTTTCAAAAATGTGAATTTAAAATTATTCCTTACTCAATGATTTTTAGTTGTTTTTTTTAAAACAGACATGTGTATCGAGTGTATTCACACCCATTAGTAAACAAAATGCATTATTGCACTAATAAATACTCTGTCCTTACGTTTTTTGTTTTCGTTGTATCTCTCAACTATCCATACGTTAATTAGCGTCGTTAATTAATATGGTATTTGAATACTTAGCTGTATCATACAAGTCATAACTAACGATTTATATATAGTTTAATAAGATGAGAAATAGATAAGCAACGCCTATGTGTAAATCTCGTGGTAACTTGATAATATATCGTGATAAGATGCTGTTTCTTGGGAGCTTCTCGTTTGTTGCGTCGTTGCTCTGAACCAACGCTAATACTATAAAAGGCAGCTCAAGTCTTTCTATTTAATCTCGGACCAAATTACAAAGCGTGTTCTGTTCTGTCTCTTCCAACAACAAACCATTTTCTTCATTTTATTTCTAACGTAGCTTTTGAGATCGACGATGGCGTCGTCGAAGAAATCCCTAGTTCGAAATCTCTTCAACATTTCCAAAACATATTCCCGGATTTCGGGTCTAACCCGAATGCGTCCGACCAAACCCGGCATTACTCATGACGCCGGAGATTCTGGAATCCGCCGGAGATTTCTCCACAAGAGGGCGTTTTTCTCGCCGGAGATAGTTCCGCGAGGGGGTAATCTGATGGAGAAACTCAGGGAGCTGAGCTTGTCGAATAATCGGATTCGCCTTGACGAGATGTTACCGCCGCCGACGCCGGAGAAGACGTATCCAGGAGTTTTTCCGGCGGTTACGGTGGAAGACGTGAAGAAGCTTATGAGAGCAGCGGAAATGGAGATGGTGAAATCGAAGCTGAGAGAGATCGGGGAAAATTGGGTTCCGTATTCGGAGTTTGTTCGGGTATGCGGAGAAAACAGTTCGGATCCTGAACAAGGTAACCGGGTCGCGAATATGCTTGACGAAGCTGGAAACGTCATCGTTTTGGGGAAATTCGTCTGCCTTAAACCCGAAGAGGTAATTTTATCTTTTAAGTACGCATGCATCACAAATCACAAATGTACAAATGAAACTTTTAATTAAAAATTAGAAGCTAATAAATGTTCTTTCTTAATTTGATATATGGTAACAGCTAACAAGCGCCGTGGCTGGTCTAATCCCGAGACGCGAACCCACTGGCGACGCCGCGACAAGACGAGAGTTGGAACAACTTGAGATTATAAAATCAGACATCGACAAAAGAGCCGATGATTTGGTACGGCGAGAGTTATGGGCCGGACTAGGCCTGATCATGGCACAAACGATTGGTTTTTTTAGGCTGACGTTTTGGGAACTATCGTGGGACGTGATGGAGCCCATATGCTTCTACGTAACTTCGACTTATTTCATGGCTGGTTACGCCTTCTTCCTCCGAACCTCAAAGGAACCTTCCTTCGAAGGTTTTTACAAAAGCCGGTTCGAGGCGAAGCAGAAACGGTTGATTCAAATGCTCGATTTCGATATCGATCGCTTTACCAAGCTACAGAAGATGCATCGTCCAGACTTTCCTAAATCCGGTCGTTGTTGATCGTAATTTTTTCTTTTCTTTTCTAAATCGGATACTAATTAAATGTATAAACGTCGAAAAGATCCGTAGAGAGTAAATTAAAATTAGAGGGATAAAAATATACACTTTGAGCTTTGATTCATTTTAGAGTTATCCATAACCCTAGTGGGTTAATCCGTCAAACTCCATTGGACCCAATAGAACTTACATTTCCATCTGCCAAAAAAAAAAAAAAAAAAACTACAGTATAAATAAAGAAAGAGATTAACTTGAAGTTTTCAGAACACAATCGCGGTAGAGATTGTAGACTCGAGCGATGTCTGTAGAACTAATAGTCCACACATGACCCTTCAACGCCAAACGCAAAACGCTACTACCATTCCCTTCCTCGTCGCAGTAACTGCTTTCTTCAACCGCAGCCGCCTCTTTTCGCTTCTCTTCTCTCCACAGACTCTTCACAAGCAGCTCTTTCGTCTCTCTGTCAGGCATCAGATTCGAATCCTTCATGTCTTGGAACACTCTGAAAGCAAGCACTGCTCTTTCGCATCTGCAATACGCTTGGACAAGAAGCTTTAACATGTACGGATCTGGCTCCAGACCAATCTGCCTCACCATTGAGAAAAGTCTCTGAACTGTCTGAATCTCTCCCTGCAATGCGAAGTGATACATTAAACCCGAAAACGTCTGGATATCGGGAGAAACTCCGGCCGAAATCATTTCTTCTAGCATCTCCAAAGCTTCTGCGTCTCTCTTGCACTTCGTTAACGTTCTCAAGAGGGATGAGTACAATAGCATGAGGTTGAAATCCGATATTGAACCGCATAGAGTTGTGTCTTGGCGAAAAACCTTGATGGCTGCTTCTGGTTTCTTTGAAACTCCGTAGAGTTCAATGATTAATCTGATGGTGCTCAATGGTAGTTTGATCCCTTCGATTCTCACTTTCGAGATGAGCTTATCAACCAGCTCGTCCTGGCCATTGCGTGCTAACAGAGCCATCATTCTCTCAATCGTGTAGGCGTCGTGGGTGAATCCGGGCTGAGTCGCTACCCAGCAGAAGAAACTCCATGCTGTTTCAGGGGATCTGAAGTTTCTTAGCATCTTGCAGACCAAAAGGTTTGTCCATACAAAATTAGCTTCTTCCAAAGCAGTGACTGCACCAGAGTTCCAGCTCTTTAACGAGCTCGCCAAAGCTTTTGGATCCAGCCATGGTTTCAACTTCACTTGACCTTCACTAGCATCATCATAACTGTGTTCGTCGTCCTCCTTTTCTTCTTCGGTATCGCTGGGATTGTCCATAGAATAAGACGTAGAAATATCCTTGATTCTCTCATCCGGCAACATTTCCCTCAGCAACTCTTGTGATTCTTGTTCAAATCCAGCATCTCTCATGCGTTTCAGAGGCTCAAGCATGCGTCTGCTCGGGAATTTTCCATCAGCTTTCATCTCGGCAAGCAGAATCTTGACTTCACCATAGCGTTGAGCATCAACAAAGGCTTCAATCAGAACCGAATAATGCTTCAGAGTCCTTGTGATCCTCATCAAAGGCAAGGTCTCGAAAATCTTCATGGCTGCATCAAGATTCCCCAGTTTCACCAGATGCTCAATCATGATTGTGAATGTTCTTGAGTTCGGGATCCCTCCGTGGTTAATCATGTGATCGAAAGTTTGCACAGCGTGAGGATGTTTACCTAAACTCATGTAAACTTGCATCACAATGTTATAGGACTCAGTGCAGCCTTTCTTGTCCTCTCCTGAGCATCTATACTCGTCCCACGTCTTCAGAACCGAGTCAAAATCACCAGCAGTCGCGTACAGGTTCATGAGATTCATAAAGCTGAAACGAACTTGGCCGAATTTCCCAGCATAGACAAGTCCAATCAGAGATTTAAGCTCTGAAGATCGCTGAAACTTTGCAAGAACAGTGGCAAAGGCGTGAAGGGTCTCAGTTTCGTACGAAAAGTGTGGATTTTTTTTCCGAAGGGTTTTAAAGATAGACCAAGCAGAAGCGACGGAAGGAGACGAGCGTAAAGCGTTCTTGACGACGAAAGAATCGAGAAGACGATGGTCTAAAAGAGAAGTCAGATTCGAGGATGTGGAGCGGAGGCTGAGGCGGATGGAGTCGATGAGGTTTGCACGGTGTAGGTAGTGCTGGACTTTGTTGGGGAATGGGTCACGGGAGAGGAATCGAATTTGCTGTTTACTTATGGAGTGGATGAGCTTAGCTGAGCTCGAGAATCTCAGAGAAAACATGGCTTCGTAATGACAGTGACAATGAAAATGAATAAACAAATCGAAAAACCTACTCACTGGGACAAATGGTCGAACACCTTGAGAGCGTTGGTAATATACGTATCGACACCCCGAAATGGCTGTCTTTAACGATTTTCGTGTGGTCTCTCATTAATCAATTATATACGCGTAACGGAAATTAGTACCCAAAAAATGTTTATGAACAAAATGGCTAAAGGTTCAAGCTTTTTTTTTTCTTTTGAATTTAAAGGTTTTAGTTTTACGGGAAAACGAAGACGAAACAGTTTACACAGAGAATAACATAGCCATTTTACACCAAAATGAAAGATTCAGCAACCCCAAAAAAGGGAAAACTCACACAAAGAAAGAAAGGCAGAACACATAAGGGGACTTGGTGGTGATGGTTTGAAAGCCGTGAGTCTGTATGTGTGTGTATATATATGTATGTGTCAACGTGTCATATACCTATACAGAAAGTATATGGGTGATTAAAAAACCTTAGAATGTGGAAATCGTCTTCAACCCCAGCGAGTAATCTCTTTGAGGGTTTCCTGGAGGCTGGAATTTGTCACCATCCGGTTAACTTTCCTGAAACCTTCACCGTAGACCGGTGAGTCATCTGTTTCGATCTGATTCTTGCAAAACTCCACCAGTTTCTTCTCGAAATCAGACCACTCGCCTTTCTTCGATGTGGTAGCAGCTGTAGTGCCGGAAGACGATGAAGCTGCAGCATCAGTAGCATCAGTAGTGGCGTATGTCTGAGATTCTAGCCACATGTGGCCTAACACTTGGCATATTCCTTCTTCCATAACTTTGTTAAGATTCCTATGCCCTGTAAATCCAACCAGTTACAATACTTTGTGAGACCCTCTTCCTAGCTATCATCCCTTAATATTTATGATCTAATTTGTTGGTGTTATTCATCAATACGTACCATTGAGTCTAAGATAAGCATGCATCATCTCGTGAGCCAAGATATACCCAGTTAGTAACCTGTGTGTGTGTGAAGAGAGCTTTGATTTGAGACAATTTGCCGCAAGAAAGAGAGAGAGATAGAGAGAGCTGTTACAGTACCTCGGAAGTCCATATATGATGAGAATCGCAGTGACCTCGCACTCACGAACAACCCTTTGAGACTCTGTAACCATGTCTATTAGCTGCTTGCGCGGCCCCACCATCCTTGGCCTTTTTGATACCTGTATATATGTAGGTGGTATAGAGTTCAAAAGTCATTGATTCCAATCCAGATTTTTTTAGACTCTAAAAGCGGTAAAAAGTGTTCTTACACTTGTGACGGTCTGCGCTTCAGACAGGCATATACCTCTAGTTATCACCTCATACTGATAGTCCTGCTTGTGTAAAAACATACAACAAATGAGTGAGGAAGCGAGAGAGATGAAGTTCCAGGTCGAAATGTACTCACAATCTTCTCTTCCTTCTCAGCTTTATTCAGCGCTTGTTTCTCCACCAAAAGAAAGGGAAATTGTTTCTCAATCTTCATGTTTAAGCCTTCGAAGAATTCACGCATATCAAAGTGCAAAGGCTGGCATTCATCAGAATCCATAACGGCAGTTTCCATACATTCTAGGCACAGCCATCGCCCATCACCAAGCATCACATAGTTAGTTCCCCTAGGCTGCAAAGAAAATTAGCCAAGATCCTATCAACTCAAAACCAGAGGATTATAGTTTTCTTTTCTTTTTCAGCGTGGTGGTTGATTCTTCATCTCATCTCATTCTCTTTTGCCGTATTTTGATATTTGAGAGGTATACTCACCTCAAACCTCTCGCAACTGCAACACTTGGGAGTTCCATCAGATTCATGAGCAGGGCAGTATCTCTCCTCCCAGAAATGATGTTGATTGTACTTTCTCATCTGAAAGAATACATTTACATTTCACATGCATGGTCACCATAAAAAAATTACAACAGAGAGAATTCACAAGTTGTGTACCTTCTTCTCTTTGCAGACATAGCAGTACCGATCATAGCAGGATTTGTGAAAGTTACCTCTTGCGTTTGAAACCTAAGAGAGTTATCAAGAACTTAGCTTTTGCATCAAAAAGAAAGAAAAAAAAAATGAACAAGTTAAGGAGTATATTAAAAATACAGAGCAATTTCAAAAGGAGGAAATTTTTTCCGTACATGGTTTTCAACCTCGTGGATCGCAATTGGTTTGTCACAAGCACGGCAACAGAAACATCCAGGATGCCAAAGAACACCCAAGACATCCACAGATATTCCTTTTTCAACTGCAGAGCTGCAACCACCACACATGCTACAAGTGAAACATTCTTAACCAGGTCAGGACATATCTATAAGTTAGATAAAGAATGCAAGAAAACTAGCAACAGAGGCATAAGCTTACCTACAAGGAGGGTTCACCTTTAGGAGCTTTCCATCTTCTTCCGCCTCATCTTTGGATTGCTTTAGTTGACCTTTCCCCTTCAAACTCTCCCAAACAACTCCCTGTTCATTTTCACCCAACGGAACTCTAGTGGATATGTTGCTGTTTTCTTCGATTCGAGGAGGAGACTCTGCCATGTTTAGACTCTCCTGAACAAACAGAGCAAGTTGTTCATCTTTCTTAAGTTGTTCATCTTCAAATTGCTTTCCTTTGCCTTTCCTCTTTAAACTCTCCTCAACTGCCTTCGCAAGCGGCTCGTCAACATCCGACAGAGCTCTACGAGAAATGTTTTTATGTTTTTCAATTTGAGGAGGAGACTCCACCATGTTCAGACTCTTCTGAACAACCAGTGCAAGCTGTTCATCCTTCCTCACTTGTTCCTCAAACTGATTTCTGTTTGCTATCTCCTTTAAGCTCTCCACAACGGTCTTAGAAAGCTGCTCGTCTTCCAGTGCAGAATTAGTATGAATTTGCCTTTCTCTTTCCTCGTACAGAATACTATTTGCTATCTGCGCATCCTGTTCTAACACTCTGGTGCGCCTTCTATCCTCTTCCACCTGTCGTTGACGAAGACGAGAAGATTCTTGAATGGCCAAAGCAAGCTGTGCACCTTCTTGAATGTCAGCTTCATGCCGTGAAACTGCTAAGGCGATATCAATTTCTGCTTCAAAAGGATCCTACAGGTTTCAGAAGCGAAAAGAAAAAAGGAGGCCTTTCAACTTCAAACCAAACACAAGCAAACTTCAAAGAGACAACCAAAGATATCATATTACCACAGAAGTGGAGGGTTTGAAGCAGGAGAGGCACCACATCCTCTGTATCCCACTTCTTCACCAATCTCGCCAACCTTTTCCCTGAAAGTGTTCAACCATTAAATCATCATCAGTGAGAAAAAAAGAGATAACCCCAAGGATCCTAAAGAACATTAAAGTTTCACTAGTCCAAACCAAGCATCATCTCATTATACATCAAGAAAAGGCAAACTGCCTGGAATTTTGAATGAATAAACGAAAACAAGGTCAAGAAAGTTCACAGCATCAGTAGGGAACAAATTCGCGATCATCTTGGTGAATTAGGACATGGACATTAGACACAGAAGAAGATCCAGAGGGATAGTACAGAGGAAATAAACTCCATACCAACTTGTAATCGAGAAAGATTTAACAGAAGAGGATCAAACCTGAGACGAATAAGATATCCAAAGGAACAAGAATCGGACAAACCCAAGATTTGCCAATGAGCACGGCACTTGGTCTGAAAGTGGAATGCAGAGACTTTAAAACGATTGATAAAAAAAAAAAAAACCATGGGTTTTCTAGAATTCCCTAAAATTTGGGGTCGACGCGGTGCTGAATCCGACTCATTTTAAAGATGTTGAAGGCTTACAAGAGAATCTCTTTATAAAGCCGTCAAACTATAAATAACAAACGACTCGGAGAAAGTTAGAACAAAGTTGAATTTTTTTTTTTGTTTTTGGGGGGGCGTAAATAAGTTGAATAATAATTAAACAAGTCAATACTTACACAAACCGCTCGTGAGATGCTATTGCTAAACAAGGAGAAGAAGCAGAAGAAGGAGAAGAAGAGGATTCGGAGGCCATAGCTTTTCTTTTCCTTCGTGTGGAAACTACGCCGGATCTTCCACGAGATTTTCCAGAAATTTCCAGAAGCAAAATACATATATATATATATATATATATATATCCACTTTCATTCACTCTCAATGTGTTGAATTGAATCGGTCGTGGGAGAAGAATGAAAAAGGAGTGACTCGGCGTCGGCGGGAAAGAGAAACTCACCTTCTTCTTCTTCTTCCTTTTTTTTGTTGACTTTGTGGTCCAGCCTTCCAGCTGTTTTGCTACACGTGGTGCAATCACATTTCCCACGGGCAATTTTTCGGTCAGGGGTTTCCCTCCCTCCTAATACGCTGCCGTTTGAATAATAAAACAAAAAAAACTCAATTAAATAGCTCAAGAAACTGAACAATACCGGAAGGAATATATGTCTGTAAATCATACCAAGAGTGAGGAAATTAAATGGTAATAAAATTGTAACCAAAATTCAAAAGCTGATAAAGAATATCGCTAATTCGTCAAAATTCAATGCGACAAAGAAAATTGTGAGCATGAATATTAAAACCAGAAAAAATTATAGATGAACGTGTGGCTCTCTTGCTTACACCCACATTTACACTTCCACGTTATAAAAAAGGAATAAAAACAATTATCTTTCGCTGTACCAACTACAAAGTCGTATTCACCAGTGAGTAGTGACTAATTCAATCACCAAAAGGACAGTTTTATTATAAATCATTTTCGTTTTCAGCAGGCCTGTAGGCCACAGATATAAAAAGGCACAAGCTCCTTTTTAGAACCGTCGACAAAAAATGATGATCAAAGATATTCAAAACGCAGTTAGAGTCGAGAAAGGTGCGAAAGACGTGCCTCTTCAATCACCAGGAGATTACGTTAGATTCATTAGCCCCGAGGTCTACAGATCCAACAGACAGAAATATCTCAGAAGTTACACGTTTAAAAGCTACGATGATAAAGAAAACTTTTCGGCCAAGAAACACGGGAAGTGGTTCAAGAACAAGAAGGTGATGAAGAAGATGAAGAAGACGACTGACTCTCTTGGCAACTCCCTCAAGACTTGTCTCAGGCTCTTCTTCTCTTGCTTTCATGTCTGATCATTTCCATTTTCTATTTGTTTTTTTCTAATCGTAATTTCAATCTATCTTCACTTTTCCTTCTGAATAACTTCGAACTACTTGTATAAGTTTAACTAAACTGAATTCGAACATCAGTTTAATTTTTTGGATTATTCAGTAAACATGTATTTATCGTATTTTATTGCATATACTTTTGTAAATTGACAGAAGGAATGTAGCTGTTCGGTTTCTCGGCGTGGAAATTTTAAAATTTGTCTGCATACGAGTCCAGCGCGAGAGTTTACGAATTTGTTTTCTTATCATAGAGTTTTATTTTAAATTATGTGAGTCGTCACAGTCGAGTTCTCAGAAAGTTTCTTCAAGTAGAATACTTTATATCATGACAAACAATGTTTTTTCAATTTTAGAGAGTTGACGCATGATTAATGTATACACATCAATATACACTGACATCGAATAAGACCCCCAAAAAAATATTCCAAGGACGAATTAAACTCTTGGTTGAAATTTTGAAAATACAAGTAAAAATGATAGAGAGAGACGTGTACTGGTTAAGTTGGTCCGTCGTGATCAGTGACCAGATAAATCGTAATATAACGGATTCTTAGGTTATTGGGTATAACTATAACTTCTTCTTTTTGTTGTGTTAAAGGGGTTACTTGAATCAATCCATTTTTTTCTAAGATTGGGACCTGGCTTAAAAAAAAAAAAAAGGCGAGAGATCAAATTATTGCTTAGGAGGTTACGTTTGGAATAGAATGATGGTTGTTACAAGACCAAAAACGCCCATCACCAAAAGCCCATTTTTCAGTCCATCATATCAATAAATCACAAGTTCATGAACTCTCGCTTTCTTCTTTTTTTTTTTTCTCCTCGGATCAGTCCACTAAAAGTACATGTATCAATTCGATTAGAATAAAAGGAAAACAAATAGAATATTTTACTCTCGCTAAAATAAAATACTCAAAAGGGATTTACTCCTAAAATAAAAATGACAAGACAAAACAAAAAATATCTCGTATATTGTGAATTTATGTTCGACGTTATTCCGAATTCGAGGAGATTAGTGGTAAGCTCCAAAACAAAGGTAATATTAGATTACCATTACCAATACCCTTATTTTTGTTTCTTACCATAAACTATTACTGGCTCTTACCATACCTCACCAAAACAATCTCCAAAATTCATATACAGATATGCAACCCAAAGCATCTACATAAAAATCGGACTGGTTACCGGTTACGTAATGTTGTGTGTTTCTTTATATTTTCCTGATAAAATCTATAACGACTAGTTGAATATGACGAGATTATTGAGAATACCAATTATCACAAAAAAAAAGAAAAGAATAGACCTGGATTGCCCCACCTTGCTTTATGCATTGATCTTCGGAGGAACACAAAAGATAAAGGAAAAAAAAAACTTTATGCGTTCACATTCCAAAAAAAGTATGCCCTTTTTCTCGTGTGATTCTTTGACAAACGGAAGTCGACTTCTCAGACACAAACAATCCCATTTTCCGGACATGGCATTTGTCAATTTATCTCACCTTCTCTCTCTTTCTCTCTCTCTCCATAAATTAGAAGAAGAGAGAGAGAGGCTTATTAGACAAGTCACAAGAGCACAAAAAAAAAGCGAACATCTTCATTCAAAATGTGATGTTTCCTTTTTAGCCCCTTTACTTTCATTTCTTTTGAGGTCAATTTTTTTTTCTGTCTTCTTCCTTCTTCTTTTTCTGTTGAGCGAGTTACATTTGGAATTTTATCACATTTCTTCTTCTTTATTTTCTTTTGCTGCCCCCATCATAATCCTTTTGATGTTTGGATACATTCTCGATGTCCTTGTTTTCGGGTGGATCAATTTAATGTATTAGTCAGTGACTTTTGGCTTTTCAGATAATGAGATAAATGGGTTCACGGGTTTTTATTGCTCATTATTAAGTCTTCGTTGAAATGTATCACTGTACCATCTCCTATGTTATGGACTCAAATCAAATTATCATAGGTTAAATTTCTGAATCTTTTTTTTCGAAATTTTTTTTAAGTCACTGAGTACGAATAAAAAACGTTTAAGATATATTAACGATAAGATAAGAATAGTATTTCGTGACAATGGGGCCATGTGATTCAAGAACTGTGGAGGAGGTAGAGGGACGGTCAACAACTCCGACTTGCCTGCCAACAAGCGGAAGAAATTTATAAACCCACTAACTGTAATCTGTAATTAACAAATAGGGTTCGTTTTTTTTTCCTAATTATCATCCATCTTTAGTGGTTAAAAACTCATGAATATTGTTGAATATACTATCAGCTAATCTATATAAATAGGGTAATACACAATGTAACATGTAACACTATATAAATATATTTTTATCACAACTATATAAATAGTATTTATAGCGTACACAGAGATTATTAATGTTTATTTTGTTTGATTAACCTTAAGCACCACAGTAACTTTATTTTTTCAAGACAAAACACTTTTGTCACTTTTATCTATTTTGACTACCTATGTAAATCTATAGCTCTCTTTTATTTTTTGCCGATTTGGTTGGAAATTTGACGACTCGTGGGGTCTTGTACACACTGGTGACTGGCTTTTTGACACGATTCGACTCTCTTCTTCTTCTCGCTGCCATTTCCGTGAAACCTGAGTCATAGCCAACTTTTCTTCTTCAATTGAAACCCACCAAGCTTCTTTTGTCCCTTTTAATGTTAAAAGCTTCCTCCTTTATTGCTAAAAGAGAGAAGATTCGCAAGTTTATAGTTTCCGTTGGCGTCTTACAGGTGGAGAAGATTCACCTGGCTTTTCCACAAAAGTCCCCAACTTTTTAGGCTACTGTGCTTAAAAGCTCAAGTTTTTTTATGGGTTTTGCTAAGCCTTGCGGTTTCTGCTTCGATCTCTTGAATCGTTTCCTGTCACCTTCTTGTGTTCTCTAACTCTTGGGAACTGCTAAGGAGAAAAAATCAGCTCCTTTGTGGTAATATTTTAGACAAATGGGATTTGGAGTTGGTGGTGGAAGTGGAAGTGGAGGTAGTAGAATGTTGGATTTGAGGATGGTCCAAAGCCACAAGCGTTCAAAAAGGTAAACTGTCCACTCTATTGTTCGTTATTAACAAACTACTCCTTTTCCCTTTTAATTTACTAGATTACTCTGAATGTGTCCCTATTTTCTCTTAATGGAATCCTTTGCTGCGATGGGTCACGGCAGAATCTGGAAAAAAGTGGGAGTTTTGGTTGCAAAGTCAATCAAATCTTCTATTTTTCGTTGCTTAAGTTGCAGTTTTTGTGGCCCGTTCTGAACAAGATAATGTTTCTGTAAAATTTGTTAGTGTAGTGGATGAAGAATTAATGTTTAATTTTATTCTGATACAAAATGGATCTAATCAAGAGACATTCTTGTTATATGCTTATTTGGAAAAAGAAATGCTTATTTGGTGATAAAAGGGTAAAAACAGTGTTTTTTGTTTAGTCTGGGTTTCATGCATTCTGTTTCTAAAAGGTAAAATAAGTCTCTGGAGTATCTTTATTCATATCGTTGCCATTGATTCTTCTTTATGCACAGTGCCAGCTTTCCAGAAAAGAAAAGATCTGAGGGAGTTGAACCCTCGAATATTTGTCTTGAAGCCTCTCAACGCATCAAGCTGGTGAGTACGATCATCTTTTTTTTTTGCTTTTTTCTACATGTAAAAGTTGTGATAAAGTGTATTGGTATTTGTTAAAGAACAGCCTAAGACGCTGAGACATGATTCTTGTCTTCTTGGATTTATCTCTCTGTTTCTTTATCTCATTCTCTCTCTCTCTTTTTTTCCCACGCTGCTTTTGCATCTTTTTGGTGAATGCCTTTACACAAATGTTTTGCTATACTTCTTTGTATCCTTCTTCCTTGTCTTATATTTTTTAAAGGAATTTCTTCTTTGGTTTTAAGTTTGTACTATAAACTAATCTCTTTCATAAGTGCAAAGCTGTTTCTAACTGTTATAAAACCTCCACTGAGACAGACTATCGTTTATGTATTTTGTCTGACTTGGTTTAGGACATGGGTCGTTCAAAGGAATCGACCAGAACCAAGCATAATCAATACCATTCAAACACCGAAACTTCATTGAAGCAAGAGGTAATAATGTGTACAGTTTTTTTACTTGGTTCATGTCCATTGTGCGGTGGATTAGGCTTCAATTACCTCATTTCTTGTTATTGTAATCACAGATTGATCAGCTCCAGACGAGATTACAAAATCAGTTTAAGGTTCGTTGTGCGTTAGAGAAGGCGTTAGGTTATCAAACAGCTACTTCGTACATACTGAGTGAAACAAACGACATTCCCATGCCCGAGGTAAGTTACTTACATGTCCCAAAACTGTATATATCTTTGTGTAAACGAGCTCTGAAAGAAGATGCCTTGTTGTTTTTCTTCAGCCAGCTACTGATTTGATCAAAGACATTGCGCTTCTGGAGATGGAAGTTATACATTTAGAGCAGTATCTTCTTTCGTTATATCGAAAAGCCTTTGAGCAGCAAATCTCTCCAAATTCAGAGAAGAAGAAGGCTGAGTCTCCATGTGTAACAACCCCTAGAAGGCGTCTAGACTTTTCTCAAGATGATGATACCACACCGATAAGTGATCCTCTGCTTGATGATATTCAAAATCAGTCAAAGAAAGCAGAGATCTCTGCGGGTGGCCGAGACCAAATGGTCCCCAGTTTTCACCGTAGCCACTCCCAGCGTTCAGCATTTGAGAGTAAAAATGCATCTCCTGAAGATTCTTGGAGTAAAGCCATCCGCTCTTGCCACTCCCAACCGATGTATGTGGAGAATGGAGAAAATCTAATAAGTCTAGCCGAACATCTTGGCACCAGAATCTCGGATCATGTTCCAGAGACACCCAACAAGTTGTCTGAAGGAATGGTCAAGTGTATGTCAGAAATATACTGCAAGCTTGCAGAGCCGCCTTGTGTACTGAATCACACACTTTCCTCTCCAAACTCGTCTCTATCATCGAGTGCATTTTCGCCCTCTGACCAATACGATACATCAAGCCCTGGTTTGGGGAACAACTCCTCTTTCGATGTACGTTTAGATAACTCTTTCCATGTACAAGGAGAGAAGGACTTCAGTGGACCTTACAGCACCATGGTTGAAGTGATTTGCATTTACAGAGACGCCAAGAAAGCCACTGAGGTCGAAGATCTTCTGCAAAACTTCAAGTGAGTCCCCTTTTGAGATTTGATTGTAAGTGTGAATTAATTAGGATGGATCTATTTGAAATGTTTAAACTCTTGCAGGTCGCTCATCAGTAGATTGGAGGAAGTCGATCCAAGGAAGCTGAAACATGAGGAGAAGCTGGCGTTCTGGATAAATGTGCACAATGCGCTTGTGATGCATGTAAAATCTCTTTCTTCAAAGAACAAATCTCGTTTTGTCCGACGCTTAGGCTCTTATTGCAATGTCTTTCAATCTCTTTTATAGGCATTTTTAGCTTATGGGATTCCACAGAACAATGTGAAGCGAGTCCTACTGCTACTCAAGGTAACATATCTTTCACAAAGAAAGACACAAGAACCATCCTCTCTCTGTCTGTGTCTTGATATTTGTCGTGCTTTCGCATTTATCCAGGCTGCATATAACGTTGGTGGACACACAGTTAGCGCCGAAGCTATACAAAGCTCAATTCTTGGATGCAAAATGTCTCATCCTGGACCGGTAATTAAGTTAGAGAGAAAAATAAAACATGAATTTTTTTATGTTCTTGAAACGTTCTCTTCAATTCACAAAAACTTACGGAGTATTAAGATTTTTTGTTTCTTCTTCTTTTCATTGATATTTTAGTGGCTTAGACTGCTATTTGCATCAAAGAAATTCAAAGCAGGAGATGAAAGATTAGCTTACGCGATCGATCATCCCGAACCTCGGCTACATTTTGCACTTACTTCAGGCAGCCACTCTGATCCAGCGGTATAGAACTTGAACAAACGCTTTTAGAGAATGCCATTAAAAGCTGAAGTATCTGCTTCTTGGTTGTTGCATTTTGTTTGGAGCAGGTTCGTGTATATACACCGAAAAGAATCCAGCAAGAGCTCGACACGTCGAAAGAAGACTACATAAGAATGAACTTAAGCTTACGCAATCACAAAGTCCAACTGCCAAAGCTCGTGGAGACGTTTGCAAAAGAGTCCGGTTTATGTCCGGCCGGATTGACGGAGATGGTTAACCGGAGTATACCGGAATCTTCAAGAAAATGTCTAAAGAGATGTCAATCAAGAAGTAAATCACGCAAGCCCATTGATTGGATCCCTCACAGCTTTACATTCAGATATCTTATTCTTAGAGAAGCTGCCAAATGAAATTATTCCAAAAATTCATATAACGTGGCCTGTGTGTATATAACATATATATTCATAAAAAAATCGGTTGTCTCTGTCCCCACTTTCTGTTTATAATAATGTTGATTTCGTCTAGATAATTGGATCTTGTCTGTTTCACAGTTACTTGTCCCCTTGTACATGATCGATCATGCAACGGTCGTATTATACATTAATAATATATGCATCTTAACGCATCAATCAGATCAAATCATAATATATTCGATTTAATAATTTTAAAAACTGAATTCACTTAACGATTAGCAAAAAAAACTTGGCCGTCAGTCAGTGCTTCTTATTTTGTTTGGCCCATTAATTCATCTAGTAGTAATACATTTTCTTCCTCATCTAGTATGGCTTTTGGCCAACTATATTGCCCGGAGGATTGTAGAAACAAATGGTCAACACCGTTGACTCTTTAGTACACGTGGCTTGAGCACAGCCGAGCTCCTTAGAGTCTCTCCACACGACTTGTTTATAGACCCCGCACGTGTGGTTCCCGTCACACGTGTTGGACTTGTAATCGTAGAAAGGCTTCTCCTTCACCCAAGTCTCCACCGCAAGAGACGGCGTCACGGCCAAACCTTTAGCCCAAAGCTGGTTTGCGCCGTATCTGCCAGGGTTAGGACTCGCGAACTCGCACTTCTTCTGGTTCCTCTGGTAACGAGCCAGCCGACTCGCGGCCGCTTCCAGCGTCTGGCTCCACACTAGCGGCGAAACACCGACTGTGGCTCTGGCTTTGTTGTGCGCGTCGGTGAAAGCTTTAGCCGCCGCAGAGATTGTCGGAGGAGAAGCAGGACGGGTTCGTGTGGGTTTCGATTTCGACGGCGGAGAGACGGCGGCGACGGAGATGACGAGAAGTGTCACGAGGATGATGTGATGAATTGCAGCCATTTTAAGTGGATTTTGCAAACCTGAAAAGATCAAATATTAGTTTATATAGCCATTAAAGTTATTAAAAAAAAAAACTATAAGAAGGATCAACGGAGAAAGATATGGATTGGTGGAAGGATTTTCGGGAAGGAGACAAAAATATAATACTATAATCATACTAAAGGAGGAGAGGATCAAAGGCACGTGAAATGGTGATCGATCTTCCCTCGACCTGTCTGTGTATGCATGTGACAGACAGATACCCAACAGCTAATTAATTTCTTTTGTTTTCTTTCAAGGCCCATTAATGCTTATTGGGCCAACGGGTCTGGCCCTCTTCGCCTAACATATCTCGTTCGATTTTGCGAAAAATTACACCTTCTTAATCATATTGTTGTCCCGTTAAAATGAAGAAAATCCAATCATGTCTTCCCTTCCTCCACGACTGTTCCCTTTTATTACTGGCTTTTTATGCGGTGGTAATGCAATCCTCCCTCTTAAGAAAAAATAATAATAAAAGAAAATTCAATTTCACTTTTATTGGCAACAAATAATTTGAAATGTTCTCGTCTTTAGTCATTTCGGTTGTTTTCCTTTTGTCACGCTGTATTTTTAGTGACTAATACAAGTAAGATATTTGCAAAATGAAGTAAAGCAGATTTCATCTTGCATTAGTTGCAAAGCAGATTTTAGATTCAACTGTGGTTGGTTCGGTGCATTATATTTGATCTAGATATAACCATGACGGACCGATTTGCCGGTTATCAAGAGACTATAGATTAATAAAATCGTTTTACGAACCATTATCCCTGAGAGAATTAATTAACCTACGAAATTGCATTGTATTAAGATTGGAATCACATCACCGGAATATAATCATCCTCGTGTCCAGGTTTCTGAAATTTTAAGCAAAAAAAAAAAAAAGTTAATTTTTTTTTTCTCCATAAAAAAAAAAAAAAATCAAACATCTCTCTAATTACAGTTTATACGTCGTCGGTCGAATGTTTGCTTATCTAAATGACTAAAATTGAAACTACTCGGCGATCGTGCTCAAATTAGCCATGAATCTCCTCTTCCCTTTGCCACAACCTCTTCCGCCACCGCCGTTTGTCTTTACTCCGGCGATGTTTTTCGATTGGTAACCGGAAATCGAGTCATCGACGTTGCCGGAAACCCAACCGACTCCGCCGCTCTTGGTCAACGCCAAGCTCGCTTTGACAGCCAACGCAGCCATTTCCTCCGCCCGTAGCGGATGATTGAGCCACGTCAGAGGTAAAACGAAGTAAAGCTGCCCCGATCGGAGGTCCTCGTTGCCGGAGACAGCTGAAACGGCGTCGTCGAAGTCCATTTCGTCAGAGTTACAGACGAAACTCGTCGGATGCTTCTGCAAGATCTGCCAAACTTTGATCGGAGATGAGAACTCTTGTAAAGTCCCGTCGAACAGTATAAGCTTCGCCGAATCGCCTCCCATAGATTCACGTGAAACGCACGCTCCCATTTTTGTTTATACTAATGTCTTTGGAAAAAAAAAAAAAAAGGCTTTGAGTTGACTCGTGAGTTTGAGGTTTTTACAGAGTAAGTGAAAGTGAGATGTTGCTGTTGAGATGTGAATCTTGTGATTGTGAATTGAAAGAGACGACCTTGTGACGAGTTTATATACAGTTTAATGAAAACGAAAGAAGAAGAAGAAGACAGCCTCGGGAATCTTTTTGAAGTCCACGTCGGATTTGTCGTGTAGTGATAACAAAGGAACATGACAGCTCACGGTTTGGTTATTGTTCGTTTCGACTGATTTTACAAGACGGACCCTCGCGCAAAGGGTATTTCGGGAAATAAGGAGAGATAAACGTGGCGAAGAATGAGAGAGGAAGGAGCGTAGGTGGTGAAGGAAGAGAGGGCCACGTGGCAGACAGAGGCATGACCGGCAAGCAGACAAGATAGAGTTGGCCGGGAGGGTTCGCTTCGCCGGTGGGTTTCGATCGATCACACGTCACGTGAAGACAATAAGGACTGGCATGTGTGAGCGGGACCCACCGGTGTTCTCTAGGTCCGATTAGATTCTTTTGGACCCTTTTAGTAGATACAAGAGTCACCACCTACCATGGTATTTTTTTTATTATTACTTCTTTTTATTTTGCATGAATGTGGTATTAATGAGAGACTGATAAATTATTAACAAGTGTCTTTGTTGGCCGGTATGCAAAAGCTGTATTGAATTATTTAGTTTGTGTTTACCATATTATTATATGGGATTATATTGTATACTTAATGATTTTGTTCAGATCGTTCTGTTGAAGAGTATCGTCGTTCTTTTTAAAAGTGGACTTGGTGCTTTTGATTTAGATATTTTTTTTGAAAAGGATCTGTTATCAAAAGTAATCAATCAAACTGGCTACATTACTGGTTCTAAAACAATAACTAAATATCTAATTGCCCTACCACTTTATACTTTAAGAATAGAAATTAGCTCAAACGTATTGTTTACACCATACATACGCAAAAGAAATATCTTCCCTATGTTTTGTGTGGGGCTGGAATCACCCACGTCTCCACCGATATCTAATCAGCGCATTTAGTTTGATAAATTTGATATTTTGGCTGATCTATCTTTTTGTTTTTCACATGCGTAGAACTTGTCCCAAGTTCGTATAACCATTTCTCAAATCGTGGTTCGCATGACTTGGCAACTTGCTGCGTCCAAACAACAACAAAAAAACGTGGTTCGCAGATTTAGTGGATAGTAATCCCCCACGGTGGTGATATTACATATATAAGCAGGCTAACAATATATGGTTATTACATGAGGTGAAATTGGACAGTTGTACAATTTTGATTTCGAAGTGTTCCATTTTGGGCTCGAGGCATGTTTTGTCGCTATTTCAAATTCACTTTATTTGGTAACTTTATTTGAAATTCCTTGTTACTGTCTTCTAATATAAACTTTTTTTATGAATTGTTCGATTATCCGTAAAATCGAATTTAACATTCTTCAGAACAAGGTGATTTTAGATTTAGAACATGTGATAAGATGATACTACACACGCTTATAGAGTCTACAGTTACAATATCTTGAAATTTGGTTGGCGAGTGAATGCAAGGTTTGTACTATACTTTGCGATGAATCCGATCTCTCTAGTATATAAAATAGAGCTAAAATTAAATAATTTTATTAGTTATACTAATCCAGTGGTTTAAGACTTCTGTCTGCGATCTGCATTGTTATGTGCTGTCCCACGCCAATGCAATTGTCTGTGTTATTTCATGTCACGAGATTTAAGACAAAGCACAGACCAATATGTTTTATTTATAAGTTAAACACAGTTTATCTTTTAATATTCACACCCATGCACATTAAATACAGGGTAAGGTCCATAAAGAGCAAGCTGATTAGACTAACTTATTTACAGCAAATGAAATATTAATTATTTTCCACTTGCTAGTTGCTACTCGCCAGTCTATTTAACTAATTTCATAGAACTATATCTCCAAAGTACTATACCCCAATTATTTCAGTCATTTTTATATTCATCGATCAGCCAAGTGGTTTTATTGTAAAATTTTGCTAAATTCATTGTGGTTCCATGGTTAAAAGTCTTATTACGGCTTGCGGGTCATGGATTCAAATATTTTTTGGTACTAATCGGTCATAATTAGCAACTGTCAATGGTTTAAATGAAGACAAAAATTGGTACTCCACACGCTTCGGGAGTTAGTGTGGATTTTGGTACAGAATTCCTGATGGTAAAAAGGATCTAGTTATTTAAGAACTTTTGTAAATGAGTCTCTCCCAAAAACAACATTGTATCAAGTCAACTCGAGTTCAAGAAAACTAAAACTGCTTTTGATCAGTAATGGGTTTAATATAACTGAAATTCTTAATTCGACGAGTTTTACCAAAGACGAAACAGAAAAGAATTGTGCGGTGGTTATACATATTTGGGGAATACCGACAAAGCCCATCATGTTTGGGGCTGATCACTTGATAAGCATGGTTTAAGGCCCAAACATTATATAATGTATCACGTACGGATCCAGTATATTCGTGTGCGACCGTAGAAAATTGCGTAGAAGTTTGGTTTAATCTTTTGTTTCTCACAAATCCCAATATATTGGTATATATTTTTTTTTTAAAGAAGACAACGGCTACTTCTTTCTTTCTAGAGATCACAGATGATTTTTTTAACAGTCTTAATCTTCATTAACCAACAATTAGGGGTTGGGGATGTGCGTTTGAACACTGGTTTAATTTTCGATTTATTATCATGTGAAGTACCAAAAGTTTAAAACTTTAAAAGCGCAATTCAATACTCCAGAGTATAAATTGATCCTAATTTTAGGTTATTTTATTTTATGATATTTTTGGCTTGGTTCGCATTGGAATAAATTCGGTTAGAAAACAAAATCACCAATGTATTTGCAAAAAAGCCGGTTCGGATTTAGTTCGGATAAATCATAGTTGAGTGTGTAGTTTATGAGGTTAACAAGAACTCATCATCAGCTGCACAAGTGACAGTTTATGCTCTTTCTCTCGTCAATAGACCATAAGATTATGGTTGGTATCCTCCTTTTTCTTAGCGACAGACAATTTTTGCATGACGGACATATATCTATATTTTTAAAAAAAAAAATTCAAGATTTAGGGAATGTGCAATTTTTTTATAAGAGAGAAAAAGCGAAGAAATTAAAGCATCAAAAGATGTTCTCATTATCAGCAAATACAATCAACATAAAATTGTTTAATATAATAACACGATCACTCAAGTTGACCATACCACACCCCTTGGATCTTGACATCCTTTGGTACCTTAGCACCCAAGTCAGTATCCGAAGGCTGAAGGCTCTCGAACACTCCGATAACTTCTCCTGTCTCCGGTTTGCTCTTGGTCACTTTCAGAGTGATCTCTCCTACCGAAGCTGCCGTGTTCTTCACGTTCTCCTTTACAAGCTCCTCTTCGTCTCCTCTGCCTCCAGCTGGCAACGCCACGGCGTTGTCATACCCTGTGGATCCACCACGACCCTTTGGGTCCAAGAAGGACGAGCCACGGTATGACGGGACTAAAAATTTTCCGGTGAAGTTGTCTGGTTTGCCAGAGGCGTCAAGCTGTTTAACTGTGAAAAGGAATGGCACACGCTCGCCTCCAGGGAGCTGGACAGTGACTGCAGCGTAGTCGATACCATCTTCTTCCTTGAATTGGACGCTTCCATCTGAAGAAACCTGCTCGAAACCAACAAAAAAAAAAGACTCGATCAATCACAAACCCTAAACCCTAACACAAAGCAGGCAGTTTCTTGCTGTGGAAGCAAATCAAACCTCGAAGGGGCCTTCGATCTCGTCAAGGGTGTAAGTGAGACGGGTCATGAGTTTGGTGTTCTGGAACTCAGGAGGTGCGTTCTTGCTAACACTATCAGCCTTGACGGTGAAGGAAGTAGGCTCGAAGCAGAACTTCTTGCCGGCGTACTTTCCGGGCTTGAACGAGAATATCTCAGAGCCACCGTCAATAGTTGGGCACTGGTTGGCCGTTCCAGTTCCCTTCACTTCCATGTATGTTTTACTCTGTATCTCGTCGTAAGTCAGTCTCTTTGGAGCTCCCTCTGCACTTGCTCCCTTCCATTACAAGAGAAAGAAACAACTTTAATTCAACAAGTTGATCCCTATATGATTTCTAATTTGTAAAATCATATAACATCAAAATCGGTGTGTGAGAGCATTTACAAATTTGGGACTAATGAAGATTACAACTATGAATATTTTTTATCGATTGGATCTACACATATCTAAAAACAAGAATAGGAATATTGGTTTACGCATTCTATTAGGCTAATCTAAAAATTATTGGTTTAGATGTTCTGTTATGTGTGTTTCGGTTTAATTTAAATTCAAAGTCGGAACTATGTTATCACACACACACACACACACACATTACACAACTCTTCTTTTCTTCACTGTTTTCGATTCTTCTCTTGAATCTGTGAGAGAAGAGGAGTAGGTGATAAAAGAAAGTTACCGAGACGACGAGAGCAGAGGTGGCGAGGGCGAATCCGGCGATTTTGACAGCGTCGGAGCATTTTCCGGCCAAGTCCTTGAAGTCAGATTGGAAGGAGCAAGTGAGGCGAGCAGAAGAAGTTTCTAGCCCAAAAGATTTGCCGACGGTCTGAGTAGACCGGAGGTGAGAACCGCCGCGAGAAGGAGCGGTGGCGATCTTTGCCGATTGGAGGAATGTGGCGGCGGATTGGAGAGAGGCTGCCATGGCCACAAAAAAGTCTCTCGGATGGGTTTAGAGATTTTTCTGATCCAAAGCAGAGCAAAGTAAAGACTAAAAGAGTAATAATCGAAACAGAGAGATAAGATTGGGATAAGGCGAGGATTTTAATTGGTTTGTTTTGTGGGAATCGGAGTGACTGGTTTCTCTTGTTGCCACGTGTCGAAATCTTAAGTGGAGATATGGATACTGTCTCAGTCTGTGATGCTGCTGACATGTAGAAGACAAAAATGTATTGAGAAAAATGGCCCATGCAGGTTTCGAACCTGCGACCTTCGCGTTATTAGCACGACGCTCTAACCAACTGAGCTAATGGGCCAATGTTGTTGTAATTCAAATGTAAACTAGATTTGTACGAGTTTATATTTTGTTAATAGGCTTTCCACTGAAATGGTTACAACTTACAAGCGACCAAAGTTCTCCATCTTCTTTACCAAATGCTATTCATGAATGGAGATAAGAGATAATTTTGTATGTTTTCTTTAAGATTTGATAACGAATGTTTTACGAGTGGAGACAGATGTGTTGTACCAATTATCAAATCTTCAAAATTTTACTAGTTATTATTTAAGATTAAGCAAGATAAGTGCTGTTGTTGTTGTCAGATCCATAGGTTATGGGTTATGGAATTGGGATTCGGTAAAGCTAGGAAGGAGCTCATTTCGTTTTGCCTAAAACCCTTAGGTTTGATTCAGAGTATATGTTGTCTTCATTAGGCGAATCAGAATTACTGACTACTAACAAATGGTCTAATACAGTCGTTTATGCCTATAGACGACTAAGGAGCATAAATTAAGAAAAAAACAGTAGGCACTCAGAATGAGTATGGAGGTTTTGATTCATCAAGATGGTATCAGATGACAATAAACAATCCTCATCATGCCTTTCTTCTTTTTATTCAAAAATTTAGTGAAAAACTTTAAAAGCTGAATAAAGAGTATTTCTCTCAGACAAATGCCTCGATTGTCCCCACGATTTAAAGAATGGATTGATCGGACTCGTCATCTATTGGTTGTTCATCACTGAGAAACCCTTCTATTCGTTCGTAAAAATCTCTAAATTATTAAAGAAAAACAAAATTCATCCTCTCAGACAAATGCCTCGATTGTCCCCATGATTTTATGAATGGATTGATCGGACTCGTCATCTATTTGGTTATTCATCACTGAGAACTTTTCCTTTCACAAAAGACTAAAAAACCGATTGGTAATATGCCGATCGAAAGATTTCTTGCACAGAATAGAAGCTAATCAAAACTTTTACGAAATAAAAAACGGATGGAAGGACGAGTACGAGATATATTTACGGAAAATAGGAGGAAATTTGCAGATTCCATGGTTTGATTCGTATCCCAGATAGTACTCAGTGTTTATATGAGACGGTAGCCGGTTAATATATATAGCAATACGATAATAGAGTTAGGGCTTCTGGTTTTAGGTTGTCCACTCGCTAAAAAATCGTCACCAAGTCTTAGTATTGGTTCTGACAGCTAGTAGTTTCGTTCCCCTTCCTAACGTAAAAACGGCGCACATTCTTGACTAGTATATACGTGAAACGGGAGCCAGACAAAATGAAATAACTCCAGACTTTCACCGACTATCCCAGCCTTAGAATTGTTACGGCCCAGTTCGGGATAGTAAAGAAAACGGCCCAGTTTGTGATGGTTTAACTTTGACGTGTCATGGTTGGATTTGGATACACATAAGGCAAATTTCAACCGTAACTATAGGAAAACGAATATAGCAAATTAGCAATGGGCTATAGGGCCTTACGTCAGTTGTGGATATACACTAACCCGAATACGTTTTATTCGGTTTTACAACAAAAGGAAAACTCAAAAGTCAAAACGTTTCACACTTGTGTACAAGTACAAACATGGCAACAAATTTTGAAGGATTACTAAAAATCCAAGAATCATAATAATAGACAGATGTTTCTTGATTCTGTACTAAGAGATCAACCGAAAACCATTCAAGCCCGTCGCGATCTATGATCAACCATGGTTGCCTCGTGCGAATCGCAGACCTGCGTCTTGAATTTGCATCCGAATTTTTTCGTTATTGACCAACTCCTCGGCCGATCGGTCGTCGTCGTTGCCGCCGGTGAACCTTCTTTATCGATCTTGGCGATCACTTTTTTCATGTTGGAGCACTCTCTCTCTAAACGGTGAACGCGCGTCCTCATCGTATCCATGTCCAAGCGAAGCACCTGATTCTCTCTCACTGTCTTCTTCCATTTCCCAGCGTCCACCTGTCCTTGTCCCCTCGTTTCATCGCCGTCCTCTCCCGTTGCTGTTTCCGTTATCGTTAGATTCATTCTTGCCGTTGTTGCTGACGGTCCCGGAGACGGAGACGGCGATTGAGCCGCTAGTAACGTACCGGCGATCGCATGCCGAAGCTGTAACTGCTCGAAGAAGAGGACTTGCACGACGGCTCGTAGTGGAAGTCGCTCGTTCTGTGCGGCGTGTGTGCAAGCTTCGAGCGTAAGTTTCTGACAATCCATCACGCCGCATATCTTCTCCCTCTCTGCTTCCGATATCCATGGATGCGCCTAGAGTCAAGAGGAAAGGAAAAAACATTCAAAAACAAAATCATACCCAGTTCTCGGAATCTCCTTGAAAATCTAGATCTGTAGATCACCTTGAGATATACGTCGACTGCTCTGTAAAGTCCGTCATCGTAGAGTCGAGCTTGATCGGGGAGTGAGATGGCTAGATTGTAGAATTTATCCGATTTGAGATTTGCGTCCGATGCGATTTCCGCGAGGAATCCGTCGATCAACTTCCCGACTAGCATCAGGGACGGAGATCGTCCGTCAGCTTCGACAAGGGCGGTGTCGGATTGTTCCAAGGAGTCGAGAAAGTGGCTGAGGATTCTCTCCACCAGATCGACATCGTATAAGGTCTCGTTGAGGTATGAGTAGCTAGGGACGAGCAAATCGTCGAGCGTGGCTCGCTCTAGCTGCGACCCAATCTTTCTCTCCAACAGATCGCGGCAAGTCTCGGACGCGTTGAGGATGATGGCCGTTCGCAATAAGCCGAAGAGGAATCTCGTGGTTGCGGAGATGGAGCTCTTTTCTAATGGAAGATTAGAAGTTATCGTCTCCAGTAATTCTCTCTGTTCACTCTCCGAAGCTGCAGTTGACGATGACGATGGCGGTTTCCGGTTAGATCGCAATATTCCGGGAATGTGCATCTTAGCGTAACAAATCAAACAGCTCTCTATGACATCTGGGCTCAGATCTCCCGATCTCATTGACAGGATCACAGTTCTGAAGATCGGAAGGCTTAGCTGCGCCAGATCTTCGAACCAGAGCTCCGTATTCGAATAATCCCTACCCGGTTTCTTTCTTCGCGGCAGATCAGTGGCGCCGCCGCCGCCGCCGTCGTTTACCGGCCAACCGAACAGTGAAGGATCGGCTGAGGAAGCTCTTGAGACGATAGATTCGATGCACTGATCCGTTATACCAAGCGATTCGGGTAAAGGCGAGACTGACTCGCAAGCTTTCAGAGCCTTGATGGATTCTCTCAAGCTCTTGTAGACGAAATGCGAGAGAAACCTCTCCGTCTTTAAAATTAGGTTATCCGGTGAATACTCTTCCGTCATTTCGAGATGCTCCGCCGCGCATCGAAGAGGAACTGCAGTGGAAGCTGAGAGGTCGATCTTGACGCAGTAGCAGAACTTTGCCACCATCTCGAAGCTCTCACAACTCCCGGGAAAATCCTCAAGTTTTATGCGAGGATAACCATTTTCTTCAACCTCCTCATGCTTGTCTTCTTCTTCTTCTTCTTCGTCGTCCTCCTCGATCTCATGGCCTTTCCCCTTCCTATCGCTCTCCTCTACAGTAGAAAATGATCTCGTCTCTTGCTCTGTAATCAACCTGTGAAGTTTCCTGCTCTTTGACATCAGAGGAAACTGGAGGAACAAAAATCTGTGAGATGATAAAACAAATAAAAAAGTTCTCAGAAAATTAAAGACAAAAGATCTCAGGCGTTCATGAACACCTTATGGAGATGAAATGTCATATCATCAACTTCGATTTCAATGTCGCTAGGTAATCCAGTCGTACAAAACCTGTATACATAAAAAAACGAGAAATTTCTCAGGCACTTCAGCACCAAAAAATCTTTAGTATTACAACTAAAATCAGTGGTAGCTCTCTTCACCATGCTTGGCCCTTGGAGCTAGATTTCTCTGATGCCATTGTAGACAACACTGTGAAGAAAAAATCACTCACAGAAGAAACCAAAACCAATCTCTTTCTAAAGAGAATATGGAGAGCAAAAGAGAGCGAGGAAAAAGGAAGGAATTGGAATCCTAAATCATGAGAAAGAGACAGATTGAAAATAGTTATTCGGATTTCGAAAAAGGGGATCTCGTTTTTGATCCATCTTTCTTTTTTTACCCCTTTAATTCTTATAAAATCAATCTTTTGTTTGGAGAACAGCAAGAATCTCAACTACTCTCAACACGACACAATTTTCAGAGAAATTACGCTTTGGGAGAAGCAAAAATCCCACTCATTTGTTAATCATTTAAACTAATCAATTTATAAACAATTCCATGTTTTTTGCTTTCCAGTGGGTGTTTTTTTCGCCTCTTTGAAATGCAGTATTGCATTAACTGATTTTAGATAGAAAAGAGCCAAGGACGAAAGTGGTTTAGTTAAACAATTTAAGTGGCAGACATATATTTAGATACTCTATTTGTTTATATTATTAATATGATAATAATGTCTCACCTAATTCTGAAATTGCGAAATTTGACGTTTAGGAAGCCCATGTGGAATGCAAGGAAGAAATTTATTGTGTTTTGGAATATGAGAATATATTTTAAATTGAGAAAAAAATATTGCGATATTTACAAATGCAAAAGGAAAAAGAAAAAGTATGTGCAGCTTTCAATGCATTCTTCATCCACAGTTTTAAACCACCAAACAAACAAAAATTAATAATAATAAATCGACCTTTTGAAATTTTGAATGTGGGAACAAAATTACAGTACTCGTGTTTGAATTCATTGATACAAACATCTACATGACTACATTCGTAATATTAATGCTCTATAAGACTAGTATATATGTTTCACTTATACTCTTAGACTTGTACAAGTTTCTTACTTAGGTTTATCGTATTTTTTTTGGTCGTTCACTCAAAATATACGTATTAGGTAACTGCATGGTATCATCTTTTTACTTAAAAAAAAAAAAATCAAAACATGGACAAAAAATGCTTTAGTACGGTTTTACCAACATTTGGTGTATTCATGGTAGGGCTGGGCAAAATATCTGTTATATTTGCTTCGATCCGTTATTCGTCTCGATTCGATCCGAAAAATCCGAATATCCGTAATTTTATGGAGCAAAGCAAATACTAAAATTTAATATCCGTTAAAAACGGAGCAAATCACAAATACTAAAAAAAATTAAGACGGATATCCGCTCCGCTCCGATATAAATATATATATATAGATAGATAATAATTCATATAAAGTGTATAATTATTATATATAAATATAATTTTTGTGAGTTTTTTTTATAAATTTGATTATTATAAATATTAAAACTTAATAAGTTAAGAAACTTTTTTTTTAAAGAAAATATTGTCATTTTAAATTAAATTTTGAAATTTTTTATTTTTTATTTTAAATATATTATTATTTAAATATTTTTTTGGCCGGATCGGATATCCGGCAAATATTCAGATTTTTTGCGGATATCCAGAAAACGGATATCCAAATAATTACGGAGCGGATACGGATCAGAAAAATGATTATCCGGCCGGAGCGGAGCGGATCACGGATATCTCCAAAATCCCGGATATCCGCTCCGCGATGTAGTTTCTTTGACATCATCTAGTAAGAGTAGATTTTGCGCACACAAAAAAAAAAGTAAAAAGGTCACTCATTGTTTTTTCTTCTTCCTTGAGTTCCTTGATGGACGTTGCCTTATAAAGTTACGAAGACGAAATAATGGTTTCACATTCACCTCACGTCGCCTCGCCCATCCAGTTTCACACCATTAAAACATAAGTTCACATATACGTTGATCTTTACAACTGTTTTGCCTTTGTCATCTATGTGGAAAACCGGATATCAATTATACAACTACTGTATCAGTTTTCCTTTTGTGCGAGCATGTTTAATTGGTCTCATTTAATCAAAAGCCCATTTGGTAAATAGTATGAAATAGACGGTCAACGAAACTTTTGACCATATCCTCCAAAAGAAGCAGTGACAAAAAAAAAAAAAACTCCAAAAGAGGCAAAAGTTAATGACATGATCTAAAACCCATGGACGCGAGAGTTTCCCTTCTTTAGAGGCTGCTTTCTTGAATCTTTCTTTGGACTCTACGTAGGCTCCGCGTAGCCTTAAAGTGCTTATAATTTCCTCCATGGATCCATAATTTCATAAGACATGACAAATATTTATGGAAAATTTTGACAAGAAAAATAAAATATTTGAGGATAGTCATGTAAGAGAAATCAAATGCGGCGTTTTAAGGAAAGGTTAATCGAGATGCTCGTGACAGCGGCAGCGATTCCGACGATCCCGATTCCAGATCCGAGCTCTCTGAGTATCTTCAATGGGGACGATGTATATCGGGACCGTCAGATTTAAGCGACGACAGTGTAGCAGTAGTGTAAGGGCTATCGCTACGGTTACGGACCTAGTTATTTAGCTTCGTCTTTGACGTTTTATTCACCGTCGTTTCACTTACTATTGCTTTTTTTGTTTACTGATTACTATATTGCTGCGTAACATCATTATCGCTCGATTTATTTTTACGCCTTGTAGCGTAAAATGAGTTGTGTTAAGAAATCACATATAGTTTTTAGACGAGCTAGTTTGAAGAATGTTAAGCTTTACGTGAAAATTATCTTTATATTTAACCTTCCACAACAAGTTGAAATGTCACTTGCATGCGTTTAAACTTCCTGATTATATATGACAACAGACAAACACAAAACACTAATCCCAAAACAATCTGTAAAACCTAAAATATAACTAGCTAGAGATGGATAATTCCTTAATTTCTATGATCATGCAGAAACTTTGAATGGATAAAACGAGAAGCAAAAACAGTGACAGTGTATCCTAGTGAACAAGCGAAACGCTATACAAAGCCAGAACCGGCTTTGAGCCCAAACAAACCAAGCTCATGCTTGCAGCCTTTATTTTTACATAAAAATTTTTGAAAACAAAACAGTCCAAAAAAATTATGCAAAACAGCCCATTTTTTGCTCTATAGCTTGGGGCCAATGCAAAAAATATGCGGCCGACTCTGTACACAGCAATAGTTCATTCCTGTAACTCATTAAAAGAGACCACCTTTCATCCCTGTAACTCATTAAAAGAGACCACCTAAGCTTACTTTATCAATTACATGAGTATGCCAAAAATAGTGTCAATATATTTTTGAGAGTTCACAAAGCGGCCTCTGTTGTTTGAACAAATGTTAAATTCACGTGACATCTTTCTCTTGCCTAATTGGATAATCAGGTTTTTTTCTTTCTTTTTATTGTTAAATTGGATAATTCGGGGTTTTTTTTTTTTTTTTAAGGTTGTAATAATATTTGAAAGGCCAGAAATGCTAAGCTATCTCTCTTCATTCCACATTCCACTTCTGCTTATTTTTCCAACCACAGGGTGGATTAAAAACTTTGTAATAAATTCACATTATATATTTTTTGATTTTTGTTTTTAATTCCAAAAATCGATTCACAGTATCTCTCCACGTTGTAAAAATGTTATGTGAAGTTAGTTTTTTTTTAATAAAAACACATTTGAACAAATGATGGAATAGAAATTAGTTTTTATAATATTTGATATACAATAATAACATAATATTAAATAGAAAAGATACAGTCCACGACAAAGTTAAAGATTTTTTCTTTAATGGCTATTTTATATTATTAAATTGTATAAGAATAATACAAATAGTTTAGTAACCACCGTGGTGGTATTGAAAAAGAAATGAAAGCTTCATTCGAGAGAGATGATCTCTTTGCTAGAATATCTGCTGCATTATTTCGCTCACGATTTACATGACTTAAAGAACACTCAGGAAGCTTCCTTAAAGATTAAACGATCAAACTGAAAAAAAAAAGATAAACAAAATTAATTAAAGTTAAAACAACAAAACTAATGACTTGATAATATTATCTACAAACGAAATAATGTAATAAATATTTGATTCCCTTTAGATAACATTACAATTGTTTATTGAATTGTTTAGAATAAGTGGATGTAATTCGCAAATTGAATAAATCGAAATTACAGTTGACAGTTAGCGATAAAGAGAAAATGGTAAGAAATTAATTAGTTAAAACAACGTTGAACTATATATATTATACTAGAGTTGCAAATATGAAAGTATACTTTATTAGAATATAGGAGAGTCGAAGAAATAATTTGGAGATGGTCAAAAATTCTTTCGTCACTCTATTTGTATTTATATTTTTCGTTATTTTTCCTTGTTCACTCTTCCGCTTAGAGCACAACACGAGGATGGCGACGAAGGCGATGGAGAGAGGATTCAAGGTATGTCTCTCTGCTTTCTCGTATAGCTCAATTTGTTGTTGAATGAATAAAAAGTTATGCTGACGAGATTGCAAAATATTCTTTAACACGAAGCTGATTCTGGGTTCTCAATCCATGGCGAGAAAGCGGATTCTGGCTGAAATGGGATATGATTTCACTATCGTGGTATGCCATTTATCTGTTTTGTTTTAGATTTGAGTATGAGAAAATTCAAGTAATTTCCAGTGTTGAAATTTGTTTTATTAATGAATCGCGTGGAATCTCAAATGTACTGGAAAATGGATGGGTTGAAGACAGCAGACATTGATGAGAAAGCTATTCGGAGAGAGAAGCCTGAAGATTTGGTTGTGGCTATCGCTGAAGCCAAGGTAATCTTTTCTAATCTGATTTAGGGTTTTTGATTCTGTTTAATCGATTTGCAAATTTGCCTCATGTCTCCAAAATTGCTTGCTCACTCTTTGGATTCGTAATTGTACTTGCTGGTTTTGGGAAAATTGGTTCTCTTTCTGGAAAAATTAAATTTTGTTTTTTTTTTTCTAGGCAGATGAGATTATATCGAAACTGGGAGGTCAAAGCCAGTTTGCGGAGGATCCTCAACCAACCATACTGATTACTGCAGACACTGTATGCTTAATAACCTACCACTCAATTACTGTAGTTTTTGTGATTTTCAAGTTTTGGATTAGAATCTGGGATGTTAATCTTTAGCTGATGTAAAAATAATGGTGATGTGGTGGGTGAGAGTGTCTTAGGTTGTTGTGTACAAAGGTGTCATCAGAGAAAAGCCAACCAGCAAGGAAGAAGCTCGCCAATTTATCAAAGGCTATTCTGGGTCACACGGAGGCGTTGTGGGATCTGTTATTGTAAGCAACTTGAAGACTGGAGTTCGAAGAGGAGGATGGGACAAAGCAGAGGTACACATTAACATTAACATACACTACTCTCTTTTTTTCGATTATATGTTTCTTGAACAATTTGTGGGTGATGTGAGTGCGGTTTTGACGCAGGTTTATTTCCATGAGATACCAGCAAAAGTCATCGACGACCTTGTAAAACAATTCTTCCTACTTTGTCAGTCTCATCAACTTATAAGTTTGTTTAGAAAAATCTAACATATAAGTTTCAATCTTTCAGATTGATGATGCAATAACTTTCAAAGTTGCTGGAGGTTTAACGCTGGAACATCCCCTTATTTCACCCTTTATCGATACTGTGGTTAGCACCTTCTCAGTTATTATTCCGTTTGATTTGTTCAGTTTCATCATATTACTTAGATTTTGATGTTCAATTATATGACAACACCACTGAAAACGTTTTCGTTGTAATTTCGTTAGGTGGGAGGAACTGATACAGTCATGGGACTTCCTAAAGAACTCACAGAAAAATTCATCAGCGATGTGTTATAACTTGAGCCCCTTAATCCCTTATGACTCTGTACCAAGGCTTAGATTGAAATTCTCTCGAGATTATAAGGATTTATTCTCTAGTCAATCATTTATTTGTAAGTGGGTAAAATGTAGACTTACGGTCTCATAATTCGAGGAAGTACTGATTATATTTTCGGATTTTGAATTGTGCGATTTAATGAACTTATTTCTGTCGAATATATTATGCTTTAGCCCTCTCGTAACTTGGCCGTTGTTTTGTCAAAATCTTTTTACTCTTGACCTTTGTTAGTGTGAATTTGCGCTCCCGAGTATTAATTTTTCTTCAATGAACTATTTCGTATTAATCCCTCAAGGTGTATTAATATCTGACACCAGATTTATCTACGGTTTGTTACTTTGTACGTTTCTTTTGGTAAGGAAAGATGATGCACAAAAAATACACAAGGATTTTGTTCACAAGGCCCATTTAATCTGTTAACTTTTCACTGTACACAAACAAATATCCAATTCTTTCTTTTCCATCAGTTATATTTGATTAATGCATTTTAAGTTGGGAATTTTTGCTTGAAGGCCCAAATATCGGCCCAATTAAAACTCTCTGGCTAAGTGAGAGTTTATGCGGAACCTTTATTACTATAGCGTGCTCAGGTTTTTTTTTTGGAGATTTCTCTTAATCGCGGTCGCCGTGTTCCTCCATCACCTCCATCGATAAACCCTATTGTTTCGTAGAAACCCTAATTTCGGGAGTATTGCTTGCACACCTTCAGATTCGGCCCTTGCTTGGGAAAATAAATCTGAAGAAGCAACGATTTGATACGTTTGACCGCTTAAACTATGGCCACAATAAGGGAGTCGGGCTTGGAAGCCCTTAAGGAGCTTAAAACAACCGAGCCGCCAGTTTTTCTTGCGCCGAGTCCGATTTCTGAGGTGGTTCGTGTTGCATTGCAGTATCTCTTCACGAAACTGAAGCCGTTCAACCCTAAATCTCCTTTTGATGAGCTCCTCGTTGATGGGTTTGACGCGGAGCAGATTTGGCAGCAACTAGATATGCAGTCTCAACCGTTGTTGTCAAGTTTGCGGCAGGAAGTAAAGCGATTTGCTAAAAACCCTGAAGAGATTCGTAACCTTGGGAATTTGGCCCTCAAGGTTTCTAATGGGGATGATCTCGATGGAATGGATATGGGTGGTTTTGACTCAGATGATGATGATGATGACCTAGAAGCTAACGAAAGCGAAGAGGAAGAGGAAGAAAGCGAAGAGGAAGAGGAAGAGCAAAAGGAAGAAGCAGAAGAGAAAGAGGAAGAGGAAGTCAATGACGGAATCGAGGATAAGTTCTTTAAGATTAAAGATTTGGAGGAGTTTTTGGAGGAGGGTGAAGCAGAAGAGTATGGGACAGACCGCAAAAACAAGAAGGGCGTGTCAAAGGGAAAGAAACAAAATTTGAGCGATGATGAGGAAAAAGATGAAGATGATGAGGATGAAGAAGAAGATGAGGAGGTAAGCACATAAACAGTGTTCCGGATGATAGAGTGGAGTGCGTGTTTACAAATATCTTAGTTATTTTATCGAATGATTTTAATTGTTCTTATCTTCTAGTTTGGTGCTTTTGCTGATGATGACAACGAAGAGGCAGAAAAATTGGGAAAAGCAAGGTATGGTTTCTCTGCTCTTTATACAGCGAATGAGCTAATCAGAGAATGAACAAACGAGATTAGGCAATGTTTCTTCATTGGATAGGGAGCGGATTTGTTTTCTAAGATTTTTTCTTTTATCAATGATAACTAGGTATGCAGATTTCTTTGGCGGTAAAAAGAGTGAGACAAAAATGACGTTGAAAGATGTAATTGAAGATGAGGATGCTGGAAACGGAAACCACGTACTATATCGGCTTTACTTATTCTTAAGCATTGTGATATATGGCGACTTCATTTCTTATCTGTAGTTCTGACTAATTCCTCTTCCTTCAGGGCATTGAAAAACTCTCTACACATGAGAAAGAACAACTAAAGCTTCAATCCAAGATTGAACAGATGGAGAAAGCTAACTTAGATCCAAAACACTGGACAATGCAAGGAGAGGTACCCAGACATGTTCTCCCCACACAATTTAACTTTTATAAAGTAATGCTGCTATTCTGTAGCTAAATTTATGTATGATTTGCCCTGTTAAAAGATAACTGCGACAAAGAGGCCAACGAATAGTGCTCTAGAAGTTGATTTAGATTTTGAGCACAATGCCAGGCCTGCTCCGGTAATCACAGAAGAGGTCACAGCCTCACTTGAGGATTTGATCAAGAGCAGAATCATTGAGGTAACTATTTCTTGATGTAATTTGTAACAAAAGCCTCCCCTTGATTCTCATAACTGATCTTGTGTCTTCTTAGGCTCGTTTTGATGATGTTCAACGAGCACCTAGTCTGCCCACTAATTCTAAAAGAGAAGTCAAGGAGTTGGTGAGTTTTATGAAGACCTATTACTTTTAACCGATTCTTTTGCTCTGATTTAACAGTTAATGAGTAACAGTATAATCGGTTTGTTTTACTTTTGGAAATATGCAGGACGATAATAAAAGCAAGAAAGGTCTTGCCGCAGTTTACGAGGTCTGTATGATCTACAATATTTGATTTTTTTTTTTGCGTTTTTGAGCGAGAACCAAACTTACAAATGTGTTTGTTTTGCAGGATGAATACGTTCAGAAGGCTAATCCAGCTTTTGCTCCAGCAACTTTCTCTGATGAACTAAAGAAAGAGGTACCAACTTGATTTGTTACTTTATTTTTTTTTCTGGGAGATTTTTTTTTGTCTTCCTGTCGATTCTCCCCCTTCCATATTTCAGTCTCTATATCACACTCTTTCTTATGAATATTAAATCAGGCAAGCGTTCTGTTCAAGAAACTATGCCTGAAGTTGGATGCTCTCTCCCACTTCCACTTCACACCCAAACCGGTATGTTTTTTGTTCGGATCCTAAAATGATGATCACCTCAACTGTTTTAGACATAGTTGAAACTGTTTTTTTGGCCCAAAACTTTCAGGTAATAGAAGAAATGTCTATACAGACAAACGTCCCAGCCATAGCAATGGAAGAGGTAATTCTGTTGTTTTCTTTGATCCGTTTTTGTTTGTTTGTTTGAGATCAGAGCACACTTGTACTCAGAAAGTTCGTCTATGTGTACTGTGTAGGTTGCGCCTGTGGCAGTCTCAGATGCAGCGATGCTTGCTCCAGAGGAAATATTTTCCGGGAAAGGCAATATTAAGGATGAGTCTGAACTTACTCAGGATGAGAGAAAGAGAAGGAGAGCTAAGAAGAAGAGGAAGTTTAAAGGTACGAAAGTGAATAACAAAGAGATTATACTTCAGTGAATATGGTTGCATCATGTTCATTCTCAAAGTTATTTTCCTTTTCACTTGTGAAACAGCTGAATCTGCAAACCAACCTGTGAAGAAGGCCCGGGATACTACTACCGAGAACCCTAAAACCGGTATTTAGCCGCGCTCTTACATGACTTTAGTTGTTTGAGAAATATTTCAAAAGCATCAATTGTTGACCGTTGCTTACTCTTTCAAAGTTACAGTCAGTGAAGAACGGTGAAGAGAGAGATAGAGTTACATACTACTTCAAGATTGGAGAAACAACAGTTTTGGATGTATGATATTTTAAACCTGTTACGGGTTTAATGAAAAATTCGAGATTTTGTTAGGACCCTGGACCGGTGATTTGACAATTTGCCGGCCATGAAACTTGTATTCTACAAATTTGAGTTATAATTGTTATATTATGCTGTTTTAGGGAGAGACTTCATAAATTACATATTGACCTACTAACGTCACAAATCATAAATTACACATTGACCTACTAGCGTCACAAAGTAATTATTACAGATCAATATTAAAAACAATAATCACATCTATGAATTCACAATTTTGAGTTTAATAACTACTTTTGTTATTTTGAATAGGATTAATCAAAAACATTAATCTGCGCTGCAGAGAAGACATTATCCCATCGGCTGTGATAATCATTGAAAAAAAAAAAAAAAAACGTCATCCTCAGTTCCTCACGTTGCTCCAGTGCAAGACCAACTTGTCTTTTGATTTCCTAATAAAATTATTGTTGATGAAGCACTTGCCAAGTAGCTGGAGTAGCTCAGTTGGTTAGAGCGTGTGGCTGTTAACCACAAGGTCGGAGGTTCGACCCCTCCCTCTAGCGTTTTGGTCTGAACAAATACAAATGTCGGAACGGATATTCGTACACACAGAAACGATGATTCTGAGAGGCGGTCAACGTTAAACTTTGGCCCCAACCGTGATTAGAAGAGCCACCTCGGCTTCGCATCGTTTTGTCTCTCCTTGATTTTTTTTTTTTCTTTCTGGCTAATATAATTCAATTTCAGATAGAGGCTAGTGTGAGTGAAGGAGAGATACATGGCGATGGTTTCATTGTCTAACTCATTTCTCACCTTCAATTCTCCGAACCAACTCCGAATTAGCCGGTAATTTTCCTCTTCTGAATTGCTTTCGTGTTTATCTGGGCACTTGACATTTCGCTTGTCTTACATTTTTTTTAACCATCCATTCTCGATCCACATCACCCAAAAAAAAAAAAAACGATCTTGGCTTTTGCAGAAGAAGATACTCTGCCACCATGGCCTCTTCAACTACTGGAGTGAGAGTCGCAGAAGGAGAAGGCAATTTGCCTAAACTCGTTCTCACTTCTCCTCAGAACAGGTTGACTTGATAGTCTAGACCCCAGTTCTTGTTTTCTTTCATCATTTTCTTGCACAAGATTGAGTAGTATATATATCTTCTTCTTCTTCTTCTTTTGGGTCAATTGGAAATTGGATGCAGCGAAGCTGAGATATATCTCTTTGGAGGCTGCATTACATCTTGGAAAGTTGCGGGTGGCAAAGATCTTCTTTTCGTCAGACCAGATGCTGTCTTCAATAAGATAAAGCCCATAAGGTCTCATATATTTTAGCCAAATTTACTGCCCCTAAACCAGACTAATGTCTTTTCCTTATTGACAAAATGCTTGTTATTGGACTAGCGGAGGGATTCCACACTGTTTCCCACAATTCGGACCTGGAGAAATTCAGCAGGTACTTGTTACTTACTTATCTAGTGTTTCCTCGATTGATCAAATCTTTTTTTTTTTAATTGATTTCATGGTCTTGAACCATCGTTAGCATGGGTTTGGAAGAAACATGGACTGGTCTGTTGTCGATTCCGAGAATGCAGATGACAGTGCTGCTGTAACTCTTGTGCTCAAGGATGGTCCATACAGTCGAGCCATGTGGGACTTTGGTTTCCAGGCTCTATACAAGGTTTGCGTGATGCCTTTATTTCGTCCTTTGATTATCATTGGAACTCGTGTGAATCTTATATATGTCATTCCTTATAATTCTAACTTTTTTTTTGTTTCTAAAAACAGATTGTTTTGTTTTGTTACTTTAGGTCATTATTGGCGCGGACTGCCTTTCCACAGAGCTAAAAATAACAAACACAGACAATAAAGCATTCTCGTTCTCCACTGCATTGCATACTTACTTCCGTGTAGGTATTTTTATCTTCGAAGGTTACATTTTCTAGTTTAGGATCAATCATCTTTGGAATTCAAGTGTTTTCTTCTTCCATGTTCTGATACTATGATTTGCAAATTGTGGCAAACTTTTTTCCTTCTTATAACCTTTTTGGGTTCTTCAGGCATCTGTCACGGGGGCATCTGTGAGAGGTCTAAAGGGCTGTAAAACTCTCAATAAGGATCCTGATCCTAAAAACCCTATAGAGGGTAAAGAAGACAGGTTGGTTCCTTATTTGTTTACCTTCGTTAAGTTCCTTTTTAATTCAATTTTTTTTTTCTTCCAAAAGCATATTGGGGTAACTACAGATCTTTTTTTTATTTTGATTTTTCACTTGTTTCATGGCTCTAACTACAGATGTTTTCAAACATTCTAGGGATGCAGTCACTTTCCCTGGATTTGTAGATTGCGTCTATCTTGATGCCCCTAATGAATTGCAGTTTGATAATGGCTTGGGTGATAAAATATTCATCAAAAACACAAAGTACGTTTTATCGAAAACACTTTTGTTGTGGCTTTATGCTTCCATTTCAGAAATTGTTCTGTGCATCATGAGTAATAGTTGTTGTTTGGAAAATGCAGTTGGTCGGATGCTGTCTTGTGGAACCCACATATTCAGATGGAGGCTTGTTACAGAGACTTTGTGTGCGTGGAAAATGCAAAGGTAGATCAGTTTTTGCACCTATTAAGTCTTTACTTTTTACAAAACTTAATACTCTTGCTTGTCATTTTGTTAACTCTCAGCTTGGGGATGTCAAGCTAGAGCCAGGACAGTCTTGGACCGCAACACAGCTTCTCAGCGTCACTTGAAAACAATGCACTTCAAGCTTCTGTTGTAATGTCGAGTGGATCCATTTTCTTAAGCAATAAAAGTGTTTTTTTTTTCCCTTCAAATTTCACCAGTAGTCTCCACAACTGCATTTCCCATCTCTGAAATGATGGAACCTTGTCCTATCTCTCATAACGATATCCCTCTTGTATATCTTAGAGATGAGTTTTGTTACTCTGTGACAGTCTTTGCACACTCGGAGATTCTTCATTATACGTATCGTTGTTCCCGGTTTGGTCTTCATTAACCCATATGTAATAGCCAATTTCTCGCTGTGCTGATGCACAATAGCCTCTCTTTCCTCATCATCAACTAGATGAAGCAGCGTATCTTCTAACTCTGGTACGTACCCGTTTTCCTCAAGCTTCCTTCTTACGGTTCTCCATTTATTTCGAATTTCCTCAATCTCCGCGTGCGATCTGTCTCCTGCTAAGAACTCGTGTGTGGTCCCTTCCAAGCTTATTGTACTACAACCTGGAACTTTTGCGACTCCTTGTTCCTTCATCAGTCTTCTTGTTTCCGCTGCTTTGTCCCACTTTTTCCCCATAGCATGAATATTTGCCATATGGACATATCTCCCACCATGATATGGATCCATTGTAATCAGTACTTCTCCAATTTCCTCTCCCAGCTCAATGTTTTTGTGAATCTGACAGGCTTTGAGCAACGCACCCCATATAACAGCGTTTGGCTTCAGAGGCATCTTCTGAATGAAACGTTTTGCTTCATCAAGCAATCCAGCTCGACCGAGTAAATCAACCATGCAGCCACAATGCTCGATCGTCGGTTTCAGGTTGTATTCTCTCTCCATGGTGTAGAACACCGACTTTCCTTCTTCGACTAGTCCTGTATAGCTGCAAGCAGTGAGAACCGCAGTGAAAGTGATGGCATTAGGCTTGATTCCCATCCTTTGCATATCCAAGAATTTGCTAATTGCTTCTCTCCCATGGCCATGGTACGCATAACCGGAAATCAAAGCTGTCCATACCTGCACTGGTTTTCTATTCACATTCTTGAAAACCGCCAAAGCTTCTTCCATTTCGCCGCACTTTGCATACATATCTATAAGAACACAAGCCAGAACAGAATCGATTATGATTCTTCTTTGATTAACATAGGAGTGGATCCATTTGCCTTGCTGGAGCGCCCCGAGCTGAGCACAAGCTGAGAGAGCGTTAGCTAGAGAAACGTTATCAGGCTCAACATCTGAATTCTGCATTTCATGAAATAGCTGCAGAGCTTCCTTGTTCATGCCTGCTTGAACGTACCCAGAGATCATCGTAGTCCATGATATAGCGTTCTTCTTTTCCGGCATTCTCCTGAATAACGTTAATGCAATGTCCATATTCCCAGATTTTGCGTAACCTTTGATCAACGAGTTCCACGAGACAACATCGGGTTCTTTGATTCTGTCGAAGAGAAGGTGAGCTAGGTTGAAGTTCCCGGTGACAGCGTATGAATTAATCAGAGAATTCACGGCGTAAACATCATCCCCGTAGCCAAATTTGGTAACGTGTGCGTGAATTTGCTTTGTTTCTTCAAGAGCAGAGAGGTTGGAACAGGCCTTGAGAAGAAAGGGAAACGTGTAGGCGTTATGAGGAGCGGAAGAGCAGAGCATGCGGTAATAGAGAAGAAGAGACCTCTGGGGTTGGTCAGAGCAGGAGAAGCCTCTGATCATTAGGTTCCACAAGAAAGTATCGGGTCGATCGAAACCTTGAAAAACATGGAGGGCATAATAAGACGAAGAAGTGGAGGAAAGGCAGAAAGAAAGAAACTTTGTAATTGCATATGGATCCTGCAACAGTCCAGATTTGAGCATCCGAGCGTGGATTTGCTTCAGTTGTTCTACTTCCTTGGAGCCTTTCTGGAGACAAGAGAGATTATGTTCGAATGCGAAAGAGGAGGAGGTTACCGCCATTTGAGTATGACAGAGAGACAAGGAAGGAGCTTCTTCTTCCTTATCGTGTTATTATTTCTCAGTTCTTGTCGTCTCGTTAATGGATCAAAGACTGGCGTTGATGGGTGAACGAACGGTCCCGATTTGTTGTTAGTTTACGTTTGGATAATATTCAGTTTGCGACTAATTTCACTCCTTCAGTTCACCGCTTCAGCATTGGTTGGTTAATTTCAAATGTTTTTACGCTCCCAGAATTTTAAATTACTGTTCCGGTATGCAAATTCATTACGCAATAACACGAACCGGCTAATAACGGTCCGACCGGAATTTGAGATCACGATTCACAAACAAAACCAACGAAGCGGGTCAGTCGTTTTCTCTTCTTCCTCTAGTTCCGGCGAGAAAAAACCCCTTTTCGGATTTCATTTCATTGATAAACGCAAATCATCATCACTCTCGTGAGGAGGAAGAAGAAGAAGACGATGGGAACTATGGGGAGAGCACTCTACAGCGTAGGATTCTGGATCCGGGAAACCGGTCAAGCACTTGATCGGCTCGGTTGTCGTCTCCAAGGGAAAAATCACTTCCGAGAACAGCGTATGTCTTTGGATCTTCCTTGTCTTTCTTAGTTCCAATTTTAAATCCTTCTCCTCGGGTCTTCGGGATGTTTTGGTATTTCTTTATAATCGAGTCATGCTATAGATTTGGCACGATCCGAGTTTTCTCTGATGTTGACGATTGTTTATGCATAATTGGTTTTGAGACCTAAGAGCTCAAGATCAAATGTAGAGTTTCTCGGTTCTTAACTTCGCTAGTGACGATATCTGGGTTTCTATCTTCCCCATATATGTCCTGTTTTCCAACTATGTCTTAATAGAGTGCTGAAAGAGATTCTCTTCAATTGCTTATAGTTTTTATCCTCCTCTTACAAATTACTATTATCCTAGCTGAAATCTTCTTCACTTTTCCAGTCCTATTATGAGTGATTAAATCAAATTGTCCATGCTTCTCCAGATACTACGCGCAGTACTACTGCGTTCAATGAAACTTTCTGTTTACTTTTCCCATGTCAACCCTTTTAACTGCTTCTCAAAATCTTGTTTCCAGTATCGAGGCACCGCACGCTGATGAATGTTTTTGACAAAGCCCCTAGTGTGGATAAGCAGGCTTTCGTGGCTCCTAGCGCTTCTATCACTGGTGATGTCCATGTGGGACGAGGTTCTTCCATTTGGTATGGATGTGTCTTGAGAGGTAACAACGACTACTTGACGATGTCAAATGTGCTTTCTTTGAGAGAAAAGACGGTTCTTTTGATTCAAACATACCGACTTATCGTGGTTCTCTGTAGGAGATGCTAACAGCATCACTGTCGGAGCTGGGACGAATATCCAGGATAACTCTCTTGTCCACGTTGCTAAGTCCAACTTAAGCGGGAAGGTGTTACCTACTGTCATTGGAGACAATGTCACGATTGGTAAAAAAATTCTCAAGACATTTTCTGTCACAAACTGAAGAGTGAATTTCATAGTTAGGGTAATGGATAAAGCAAATTAAATTTGGAGCAGGTCATAGTGCTGTTTTACATGGCTGCACTGTCGAGGACGAGGCCTATATTGGTACAAGTGCAACCGTGTTGGATGGAGCTCATGTTGAAAAGCAAGCCATGGTTGCTTCAGGAGCTCTTGTCAGGCAAAACACTAGAATTCCCTCCGGCGAGGTTCCTATAGATGCACTCTTATCTTGACCACCTCAACTTTATTGTTTGCTTAAGCTCTGGTAAGTCTCAGTTTTGCTTCAAAACTCTTAACACAGGTTTGGGGAGGGAATCCAGCTAGATTTCTGAGGAAGGTGACAGAAGAAGAAAGGGCCTTCTTCTCAAGTTCAGCTGTGGATTACTCCAACTTAGCTCAAGTTCACGCCGCAGAAAACACAAAGAACTTGGACGAGACTGATTTCAAGAAGCTTCTTCACAAGAAGAACTCTCGCGATGCAGAATATGACTCACAACTCAATGATCTCGCTCTCTCTGAGAATGTACCAAAAGCAGCGTGAGGCGCTTAACTTGTGCCGCCTTGAGAATCTTTATTTGTGTTCGATTTGAAAGAAAAACAAAAACTTCATTTCCTGCTTCCCCAATAAAATTTTCTTGAGCTAAGGTCCAGAGATTGGCCAGCGCTTACTGGGAAAGTTTCCAGCTTTTAAGGCATTCATTTCTCTGTAAAAGATTCTGAGGGGTTCTGTTCTCTTGTAACTTAAAAGAAAAAAGTTGTAACCTTTTCTTCTTATTTCGTCTAATAAATTGTTGGATCAGACATCTCTCGTATTTAGGTTGACCTTTTGCTTTCACACCCTCGTGACCTTTTGTTGGATCATTAGACATTCCTCGGATTGCTGTTACTATTAGGGCTCTGCCTCTATTGGTTTCGTCTGTGGCGACAAGTCAACCAACGAGTATCGTCGTCTTCCGTTCACATGTTTGCATGTTTGCCTCGTTTGGGTGACTTTGCCGGAAAATCCACGAATTTGCTAAATAGGTTTGTGCCTGTGCGAAATCTTGTTGCCCATGCTGACCACCTGTTCGACGAATTGTCGCAGCGAGACCTCTCATTGCTTAACTCTCAACTCTCGTCTCACCTCCGTTGTGGAAACCCAAATGGCACTTTGGCTCTCTTTCTTAAGATGCATCGAGCCAGCCCTGATCTCAGCTCGCACACCTTCACTCCGGTTCTCGGCGCGTGTGCCCTCTTGTCGTCTCCAAAAACGGGACGCCAAGTTCACGCCTTGATGATCAAACAAGGCGCTGAGACAGGAACCATATCCAAAACTGCGCTTATTGACATGTACTCAAAGTACGGGCACTTGGTTGATTCCGTTACGGTGTTCGAGAGCGTTGAGGATAAAGATGTCGTATCATGGAACTCTCTGCTTTCGGGTTTCCTTAGAAACGGTAAGGGCAAAGAAGCACTTGGCGTTTTCGCAGCTATGTATAGAGAAACAATAGAAATCAGTGAGTTCACTTTGTGTTCTGTAGTTAAAACATGTGCATCTCTCAAGATTTTGCAGCAAGGGAAGCAAGTTCATGCCATGGTGGTGGTCACGGGACGCGATCTCGTGGTTCTAGGAACTGCAATTATAAGTTTTTACTCGAGTGTAGGGTTGATGAGCGAAGCGATGAAGGTTTATATCAGTTTGAATTATCATACGGACGAGGTGATGTTGAATTCGTTGATATCGGGTTGCATTCGAAACAGAAAATACAAGGAAGCGTTTCTGCTTATGCGTAGGCAGAGACCCAACGTGAGAGTGCTCATTAGTTCTCTTGCTGGTTGCTCGGATAACTCTGATCTGTGGATTGGTAAACAGATACACTGTGTCGCCTTACGGAATGGGTTCGTTTCAGATTCTAAGCTATGCAATGGCTTAATGGATATGTACGGCAAATGCGGTCAGATTGTTCAAGCATGTACTATGTTCAGCGCGATGCCTTCTAAAAGTGTGGTTTCTTGGACGAGTATGATAGGCGCTTATGCAGTTAACGGGGATGGCGTAAAAGCGATTGAAATCTTCAGGGAAATGTGCAAAGAAGGAAGCGAAGTTTTGCCCAATTTAGTGACATTTCTCGTTGTTTTATCGGCTTGTGCACACGCAGGACTAGTTGAAGAAGGTAAGGAATGTTTTGGTATGATGAAGGAGAGGTATCGGTTGGTTCCTGGAACAGAGCATTACGTATGCTTCATTGATATCTTAAGCAAGGCTGGTGATACAGAAGAGATATGGAGATTAGTTGGGAGGTTGATGGAGAACAATAACCGAAACCTTCCTTGTGCTATATGGGTCGCAGTACTTAATGCGTGTAGCCTTAACATGGATGTCTCGCGAGGCGAATATGCAGCAATGATGCTTATGGAAGGGACAGGTCCTGAGAACGCGAGCATCTATGTGTTGCTTTCGAATTTCTATGCAGCGATTGGGAAGTGGGATAAGGTTGAAGAATTGAGAGGGAAATTAAAGAAGAAAGGTTTGGTCAAAGCAGCAGGACACAGCTTATTCATTTGAATTACTACACTTGAGTTGTCATCTCGTAACACCTAATACAACACTTTTTGTGACAAGAAGCAGAACAAGTCCACTAGAGTCCAGTGCATTGCTGTTGAACTGCCTCGTTGTTATTAGTCAAAAACCACAGGAAGACGTAGTCAATATAGAGCAGCATTGACCTGCGATTAAAAGTAGGTGAAAGGGCAGTGTCACAGATGGTTTTTAAGATAAGGGGGTCGTTGGGATTAGGACAAGAGAAGTCAAAAGATGTGTCCTTTTCAAATCTTTCCACTTGACTCTTTCTTTCTTAAAAACACCCCACCATAAGAGAATTAATCTACCACGAACAGAGACTAAATCAAAAGACGATGATTAGAGCCCTGAGCACGAGGAAGGATCGAGGTGGCTACAAGAAGCTCGGCGAGGAAGAAGCAGGAGGCGTTGGGCTTTTACAAGGGCAACTGCCGAGCGTTCCAGGGGAGGTGAATAAACCGGTGGAGAAAACCGGCGGTTCGGTTCACCCTCTATTGACTTTCTTCGATGTCCGGTTGCAGAGGAAGAAGAAGCCGAAAAAGAAGAAGAGCACGACGACTGCGAAACCAGAGTTCGCTAGGTACTTGGAGTATGTCAAAGAAGGAGGCGTTTGGGATGCCACTTCAAATGGACCTGTCATATATTATAGATAGACTGATAATACTGTAAGACCAAACACAAAGGTTGTATATATTTATTTTCAGTTTTTGAACAAATATCTTCGGTTTCAATAAAAAGATGAATACATCATCAATGAGGAAAGCTCGTCAGTAAGGCCATGATCTTCTCTCTTTTTTTCTTTTCTTTTCTTTTTCTTGTGTGGAACTGTGTGTGGATCAATCCATGTATTAAATTTTCAAGTTCAATAAGATAAATCTCAATTTATCACAAAAATAAAAGAAGAATATGAATTCCCGACGTATTATGTATTTGAATTTTAATCAAGTTGATGATAATATTATTTTTGGTGTTGAAATAAAAAGGCTATAATTAATTAGATGTCGTCAGAAAAAAAAGGTAAGATTAATTTTATAATTCGTTTTTGACGTAGAAAATACTAAAATGCTACTATTTATTGTTCATCAGGATGCGTATAACCGAACTTGTTGTACACGACCGGTTTTCTGACGTCACTAAAAAAAACCTTAAACGCAGCCGTTTGGGTAGTTCCACAAAACCCTGGCGCGATAAGGCGGTAAATGCGATTAAAAAAAAAAAAAAAAAAGCCTTGGAGGAGAGGTTTTTAGTTTCCGTCCTTCTCCTCCTCCTTGCTTCCTTGCTCTGTATAAATCTAATCTGTTTGCACTTTGTCGCACGATGTCATATCAATGGAGGATCAATCGATCGCCTTCTCTTCTTCCTCGGTCTGACTGTGTCTTGCATTTTCGTCTTCTTCTTTTGGATGTTCGCATACCCCGTTTTCTACATCTTCTCCGTTCCCCAGGTAATCCTTTCTATTACTGGTTGGAATTTCGATTTGATAAGTCTTGGTTTCCGATCAATGGTTGGAATCAGTTTTGGTTACTTGTTGATGTGATATTGTTACTAAGGTCTGTATGATATCGGTTTGATCATCTCCCACGGGTACCCATTGTTGACTCAGAATGTTAACTGCTTGATACTGATTTGGGAGATTTTGTTCCTATTTGTTGGATAACTGGTTGATTTCTAATTGGAAATTTCGAATGATGTAGAACCATGCCTACGTCTTCTGGTGCTGCCGCCTTGGATAGATCGCTAAATTCAGGAGCTTTCAAACCCCTTGAAATCCCAAGCACAAAACCGCTTCATTGGAAGCCACCTATTTCAGATGTGGCCAAGTTTGAAAGTAATCAGCAGAAGGAAAAGACATTCAGTCGTCCTCAGATGTCACCTTCTCTCTATGCCACTCCAAAGGAAATCCCCCTTCCTTATTCCCCATCTTCCTCCCCTCCATCTCCCTACATCTGCTGTCACAAAGCACGGTGGCCAATTCTTTTGAAGAGCTCCTCTGAGCTGGATCTGCCTTGTCACCCCAATACCCTCATTGCAGATGCGGAGGGTACTACCTCTTTGAGGTCATTTCCTATCAGCCAGGCTATTGCAGAGGATCACACCAATGGCGTCCATGACCGTCCTGTCTGGGATTGCAGCCCTCCTCATCGGAAACTTTGGAACGACAACTCTGCAAAGTCATATTAGTAATGGTGTGATTGGAAGCAGTAATGGTTTAGAATGGGAAAGTTATTTGCTGGAGTCCGTCAGAATGAAAGCAAACAAGTCTGAAGATTTCTGTACCACAGCTCAATCAGTAAGCGAATTCACAAGTGACACAGGGTTAGAAGATGATGCAGGAGCTGAAAATTCACACAAACTCTTTTCTTCTGGAGGAGAGTTTTATGATGCTCGTGATGGTAATTTTTCTACATCTCTTCTTCTTACTTACTATATCAATATGAGACGGCTGGAAGTTCTTAATTATGATGTCTGGAATCTACAGCATAACACAAACCCATCACTTTTTGCATCTTTTACGAATGAGACTTGTTTAAATTCATTTGGTAACCTGACTTCAAAAAGCTCCCTTTTCTTGGCTTCCAGAACTATCAACCGACAGCGGAACGCAGAGCTCAGTTAACCACATCGAAAGTGAGCTAAGGGGAATGAGGTTGAGTTTACTAATGGAAATCGAGAGGAGAAGGCAAGCAGAGGAGACTCTGGAGAAAATGCAGCTTCATTGGCGGAGGCTCCGAGAGCAGTTGGCCCATGTGGGTCTGTTCGTTCCTCTTGATCCCACCAGCAGCCAATACAGCATGAACATAGCAGATGAACTACGTTGCCAACTCGAGGTCGCCAGGTTTGTATCTGACTCAGTAGGAAGTGACTTGGCCAAGGCAGAGGTAGAGATGGAGATGGAATCTGAGCTCGAAGCTAAGAACTTTGAAATCACCCGGTTGTCTGACCGCCTTCACTATTACGAGACGGTGAACCAGGAAATGTCCCAGCGCAACCAAGAGGCCATAGGTAGAGGAAGAAACTAAATTTTAGAATCTATTATAAGTTTTTTCTTTATTATCTCTCAGTGCTTCAACACTCTTGATACCAGAGATGGCAAGGCGAGACGGGCAAAGGAGAAAGAGGAGGCAGAGATGGATTTGGGGATCAATTGCTGCAACCATCACGCTTGGTGGTGTAGTCTTGGCTTGGCCGTACCTCCCTTCATCAACGGATGTAGCTCCGTCATCTCCAACAGATTGATGAGGCTCCCTAATCAGATAATGAGGACGAAGCTGTGAATATGATTTGCTTTTTATGTACCTTGTTTCTAGAGAATGTATAGGAGGACCATGGTTAGAAAATAACTCAGCTTCATACCGATACCGATAATACCAATTTTGGTTTGGTTCGTGTCTTGTGTTGACTTGCAATGTTACCCTGCATTGAAGGGGGTAAGCTGATCAGAAAAATTAATGGAGAGTGATATTTGCAATTTTTTATATAAAAAGGGGTGTAAAAAAACAAAACAAGCACACGGCGTCGTTTGAAGATCACATTTCGTTCCTTGGCTAATCACAAACCAGTCGACCATTGTAGAGAGAGGTATCAAATCAATTCAAAAAACCACTCCGACAATGGCGGTCTCTCAGCATATTTCGCCTAGTCTTTCCCGCTACAAATTCTTCTCTACATCCGTAGTTGAAAACCCTAATTTCTCTACATATCATATCTACAGTCGGCGGAGTAGAGTTACCAAATCGCATCTTCAGGCGCACAGCAGTACCAGTAGCTATGGCCGGACGGAACTCGCCGCCTCCGCGAAGAAGCTATGGATTAGGCAACGAAGCTTCAGCGAAACGGAGGTTGAACAAGGCCAATTTGAAGATGAAGAGGAGCAGGAAGACATCGATATCAGTGACGAGGCGAGTCTCCTCTCCTTGAGCATGAAACCGGACAGAAACATGGCGTTGCTCGACGATTATGAGATGGAGGAGCTCGGTCACACACCTGATACTAATCATCGCAGCGGTTTGTTTTGTCTTCTCCTCTCCTATCCGTAAATCCCTATTCGGCTTTGTTACTGGGATGATTTTGATTGATTTTGATAGCGGTTGGTTTATAGGATACGTGGCGGTGCTTGGGATGCCCAACGTCGGGAAAAGCACGCTTTCGAATCAAATGATTGGTCAGAAAATTTCCATTGTTACAGATAAACCTCAAACGACGAGGCATCGGATTCTCGGTATCTGTTCTAGCCCAGAATATCAGGTTTGCTTTTAAAAGCTTACCTCCGTTTCACTCCTTTTTTTTGGATAAACTTGAGATAATTTAGATGAAGAGACATGTGTTGCAGATGATACTTTATGACACACCTGGTGTAATCGAGAAGAAGATGCACAGGTTAGATACAATGATGATGAAGAATGTCCGAGATGCTGCCATCAATGCCGATTGCGTGGTAGTGCTTGTTGATGCATGTAAAATGCCTGCAAATGTATGCTCCTCTCTTTTGGTTTTCACTTCTCCTCTGAATAAGAAAAGCCTAGCTCGCTGTCATTAATTCTTTTGGTGTTATGTGCGCTAGATAGAAGAAGTTTTGAAAGAGGGCTTGGGAAACCTCGAAAAAAGGCCACCTATGTTGCTTGTTATGAATAAGAAAGATCTGATCAAACCTGGTGAGATTGCAAAGAAACTGGAGGTGTGTATCCTCTTTGTAGCTATCCTTTGTAATGCTTATTCGATATCCCACCATTCTAGACTGAACTTGAGATCGAGGTTTTGGGGTCATGGTATGTTCTTTGCTTTTTACACGCTGCAACTCCGTGCAGTGGTATGAAAAATTTACAGACGTTGATGAAGTTATACCTGTAAGTGCAAAGTATGGACATGGAGTAGAGGATGTAAAAGAGTGGATACTATCCAAGCTTCCCTTTGGGCCTCCTTATTATCCAAAGGTACACTAAAAATCTCTCTCTTGACCGCTTTTCCCCTAATCTGCTTAATATTGTGAGGTTTATTTACACACACATTGCTTCTTTACGGGTATTGGATTTTCTAGGATATTGTGAGTGAGCACCCAGAGAGATTCTTTGTTGCTGAGATTGTTAGAGAGAAGATTTTTATGCAGTACCGAAATGAAGTTCCTTATGCATGTCAGGTAAAATGACAAGTTTGCAAACATCGTTTAGAGTCCTGTTAAAAAAATAAAGAGTTGTTGTTGATTAATATCTGTGCTTCGACGCGGCAGGTGAACGTGCTCAGCTACAAAACTAGACCGGCTGCAAAAGATTTTATTCAAGTGGAAGTAGTAGTTGACAAAAATTCTCAGAAGATCATCCTTATAGGAAAAGTAAGTATCTAATCCAAACGGGTAAATGCTGATTTGCGTTAAGTCATTCTTGTGGACATTCATAAAGTGCAGATGATTTGATGAAACTGTAAATTGGGATTTATTAACTGTTCTGCTCAAAGATCAATAAGGTGTCAACTTAAGACAAGTGTTATTGCTGACTAATTTGGCTGAAACGGGTTTCAATGTGGATACTGTAGGAAGGGAAGGCTTTGAAAACGCTAGCAACGGCTGCTAGGCTCGACATTGAAGATTTCCTTCAGAAAAAAGTCTTCCTCGAGGTGCTTATAAATTTTCATAGAGTGATTGAATTTGAGTACATCAAATGGTGTTCCAGATTTAATAAGTTACCACACTTTGGGTGAACAAAGGTGGAAGTAAAAGTGAAAGAGAACTGGAGACAAGACGAGGGACTTCTCAAGTACTATGGCTATGGAGGACAGATCCGAGCTATGTAGTAGTGACCAGTGACGGTGTAGCGGTTTATGGGCTTTAAATGGGCATTGAAGATGAGAAAGTGCAAATGGCACGGTTCAGGTTAGCCTTTCCCCTTTTTGTTTTTGTTTTTGTTTGTATTTAACCGATACGGCTCAGCCTCAGCTTAGCTTTGGTTTTTACATCTCAATCCAACGATTCCTTTGGAAATTAGAACTCTTTCTTCTTTTGTTTTTATATCTCAATCCAACGATTCCTTTGGAAATTAGAATTCTTTCTTTTTTTGTTTTTGGTCACCCTCCCCTTTTGACTTTTGAGTTGATTCCACTAACTAACCAACCGAATATTCCATTTCATTTCATAATCGCAGGTTGTAAGTATACTCTCAACCTAACATACAAAAAATTGCAATATATTTTACTTTTTATAAAAGTAAAAAAGAAGCTGAACCGTGATTTATGGCGGCGGGGGGGGGGATAAGTAGAGTGAATTGCTGTGTGGGTTTGGGTCGGGTCGTTGAAAGTTAGATCCGCTTGTTGCGCTTAAGCCTGCCTCTTCTGGATGATAAAGTGCGAGTGAGGTGTTTGCTCACTATTCGAAAGAAGCAAAAAAGCTAAACTGCCCATTAAAATATACTAAAAAAGAACTTATTTTCTATTGACAATAAATTAGTGTGCTTGATTTGTCGCCAAACAAACTGAAAAATCTAGGAGCAACGGCACATGAGTTTCTTTTAGTATTATTGCTTAGTCTATGCCTTTATATTGAATTAAATTAAATTAGATAGAGAGGCCGACCGATAAAAACAAGGTTAGAGGCTCTGTATGTATAGGTATGATACTATCCACGAGTCTAAAGACACGTGGGATGCTGTGGTAAGAACCCATACAAAATGCTGCCACGTGTAACATGAGCCGGTGCTGAAGCAGTGAAGCATGTGTACAGTTACTCTTAAGTGTTAAGCTGGGTCCCATTTGCTGGTTTCACGCTTACGACTTCTTTACCATTTGATTAATTGGGATTTGGGACCATAATTAGCGGAATTACCTGCTTTTGCTTCCTACTTAAACACCTTTGTAGAAATTTTAAGTAATAAGGTTTAGCATCACAGAGGATTTATTTATTGGTTTTACAACACTGTGATGATTTATTTATTGGTTTTACAACACAGAATTAAATACTTTCCCTGGATTCTCTGATAAAAATATCAATTTTGAGTATTATTAAACACAGCAAAAAAATATTGTTAACATGTGCGTGTATAGCACTCTCTTAAGTAAGAATTATGCTTTAAAACGGTTATAGTTTTTGGTCCATAAATATACCCATTGAAGAAATAGTAAGAGGGAGAGGGAGAGAGAGAGAGAGCGCTCAACAACAACAAAACATTAAAGAAGATGAAGCTTCTGGGTCTGATAATATTTCTAGCGATCGTGATCCAACAAAGCTATTGGGAGCTAGGAGCTGATGCGTTTTCGAGCGACGGGTTCGTGAGGACGAAAGGAGTTCAGTTTAGTCTCAATGGCTATCCTTATTACGCCAATGGCTTCAATGCCTATTGGCTCATGTACGTTGCCTCCGATCCATCCCAAAGGTCTAAGATCTCCGCCGCATTTCAAGAAGCTTCTCGCCATGGTCTGACCGTTGCTCGAACCTGGGCTTTCAGCGACGGCGGTTACAGGCCTCTCCAGTATACCCCTGGCTCTTACAATGAGGATATGTTTCAGGTAGCTCCGTTATAGCCGACTGTGTGTGTTTTTCTTGTATGTCTTTCTATCTAGGCGCTTCTTAACGGGAAATTTTTGAATCTATCAAATACACTCACACAACTAGTTATTTGAGTTTCTCTTTTGTTTATGGTTTTTTTTTTTCTTTTCTTCCCTGCATGTTTTGAGTAAATTTGAGATTCTCTGTTTACACACACACACACACTCACAACTCTTATTTGAAAACGTCGGTGGCTTTTGATTTGGGTACTCTGTTTACACACACACACACACACACCTCTTATTTGAAAACGTCGGTGGCTTTTTGATTTGGGTTCTCTTGTTTAGGTTTAATTTAGTGTCCGAGGTTCTTGTGGCCAAGTTTTAAGACTCTTTTTGGATGTTTTTTTTTTTCGCTTCCTAAAGATCTGATCTTTCCTGGTGAAAAGGGTTTGGACTTTGCGATAGCTGAAGCAAGAAGGCATGGTATAAAGGTAATACTCAGCTTTGCCAATAACTACGTGAGCTTTGGAGGGAAGAAGCAATATGTGGATTGGGCTAGAAGTCGAGGCCGTCCCGTATCTTCTGAAGATGACTTCTTCACAGACTCTCTTGTTAAAGATTTCTACAAAAACCATATCAAGGTTTCAATTCAGAACTTAATCTTCTTCTCTCTTGTGTAGAAAAGTGATGGGGTTTCTCACAACTATTTGGTTTCTCCTGCAGGCTGTGCTGAACAGATTCAATACCTTCACCAAAGTACATTATAAAGATGACACAACCATTATGGCTTGGGAGCTCATGAACGAGCCTCGCTGCCCCTCAGATCCAACCGGACGAACCATTCAGGTTTCACCTACAAACATTTTCACACCAATGACTCTGTTACTTGTGTATTTGCGATCTACCTCATCGGTTTTTGGTTTAATTTACTCCATTATAACAGGCTTGGGTTACGGAAATGGCTGCTCATGTGAAATCACTAGACAGAAACCATCTGCTTGAAGCTGGCCTCGAAGGTTTCTACGGTCAGTCCTCACCCCAAAGCAAGACACTAAACCCACCTGGCCAATTTGGAACCGATTTCATCGCCAATAACCGTGTCCCCGGCATTGATTTCGTCACGGTCCACTCGTACCCCGACGAATGGTACTGTCCATGAACTTCTTCCTTTCTTCATAGAAATTGCTATATATATATATATATATATATAGTTTGAAAAAAACAAGAAAACTAAAATCACTTTTTTAAAAAAACCTTGACAGTGCTGTTTAGGACCATCATTTGGGAATATAAAGCTCCAAGAATTCATTTTGGTGATTGTGATCATATTTCATCTTCTTTTGAAGGTTTGTAGACTCAAGCGAGCAAGCTCAAATGGAATTCTTAAACAAATGGATCGACGCACACATACAAGACGCTCAGAACGTTCTTCAAAAACCAATAATTATAGCAGAATTTGGTAAATCAGAGAAGAAAGCAGGATATTCACCTGCGCAGAGAGACATTGTATACAACACCGTGTACAGCAAGATTTACGGGTCTGCGAAACGAGGAGGCGCAGCAGCAGGAGGATTGTTCTGGCAACTTCTGGGCAACGGAATGGATAATTTTCAAGATGGCTATGGGATCATACTTAGCCAACGCTCTTCTTCGACGGTTAACGTCATTGCTCAGCAGTCGCGCAAGTTGACTCTGCTTCGGAAAATCTTCGCTAGGATGATCAATGTGGAGAAATGGAAGAGAGCCCACCAGAGGCGAGTAAGAAAAGGAGCTCACAAAATCCAAAACTGAAACCTAAGACTAAGACAAGTGCCTTTCTCTAATGACGAGTTTTCATCTTTACGAACTTTCAGTTTCGAATCGAACCATCTCAACTCGTCCAAGAAAGTTACAGTGATAGTTTTTGTTTACCGTAGTAATGAAGTCTCTTTATTAGTTGTGTCACAATATTCAAACATATATGCCGACATATTCGTGCTAGAAGATAAAACGACTGCGTATAGCAATTGTCTTGGAAACATAACATTAATTGGGTTGAGGCAAGGCTAAAACTGGAAACATATAAAAAAAGTTGATTGCCTCTGATGAGGAAGAACGACGTGCTGTTGTAGTAAAATAGATTGGAACTGCGTGGCGGGGCAGGGCACTTCCGCTTCCGTCGTCTAGTCAAGCAGACACATCCATATACATCCGAGTAAAAGCTACAAAACATGGTTTCGACTGTCGTGAGAAATGGCGGCAGAATCCGACGGTTTTGTACAGCTTCGATCGAAAAGTCTATGCACTCGAACCATGTGGATACGCATTCTCAACTTCAGGATCTCATCGATTCGGGGAAATTGCGAGTTGCTCGCCAAGTGTTTGATAAAATGCCACGGAGAGATATTAAATCATGGACAGCCATCATGAAGGGATACGTAGCTGCAACAAAGCCTGAAGAAGCACTGATTCTGTTCTCTGCAATGCGTGTTGATCCCTTGGGTGTCTCAGGCGATACCTATGTTCTAAGTGTCGCACTCAAGGCTTGTGGTCAAAGTTCCAACATTGCATACGGAGAATCTTTACATGCCTATGCCGAGAAAACTTTTCTGCTGAGCTCTGTCTTCGTGGGAAGTGCTTTGTTGGATATGTACATGAGAATCGGAAAGATCGACAAGAGCTGCAGAGTTTTCGCTGAAATGCCTTTTAGAAATAGCGTTACGTGGACAGCATTCATAACAGGGTTGGTTCACGCTGGTCTTCACTATGAAGGGCTTCGGTACTTTTCCCAGATGTCGAGATTCAAACAGCTATCGTCTGATACTTTTGCCTTTGCAATTGCCTTGAAGGCTTGTGCCGATTTGCGTCAAGTTAAATACGGAAGGGAGATTCATACTCATGTGATTGTCAAAGGCTTTGCTGCTATTCTCTGGGTGGCTAACTCGCTCGCTACAATGTACACCGAATGTGGGGAAATGCAAGACGGCCTTCGTTTGTTTGAAAGCATGAGTGAGAGGGATGTGGTTTCGTGGACAAGCCTTATCACGGCTTATATTCGGATAGGTCAAGAGGAGAAAGCCGTAAACACTTTCTTACTCATGAGAAATTCTCAAGTTTCTCCAAATGAACAAACTTTTGCGTCGACGTTTGCTGCGTGCGCGAGTCTTTCTAGACTTGTGTGGGGCGAGCAGCTCCACGGTAATGTTTTCTCTCTTGGACTTGGAGATTCTTTGTCTGTGAGTAACTCGATGATGAAGATGTATTCGACATGTGCCAAGTTAGACTCTGCTTCTGTTTTGTTTCAAGGAATGAGATGCAGAGACATTATTTCATGGAGCACGATTATCGGAGGGTACTCTCAAGCCGCTTTTGGAGAAGAATGTTTTAAATACTTCTCATGGATGAGACAAGCAGGGCCACAACCAACGGATTTTGCTCTTGCTAGTTTGCTGAGTGTGTCAGGAATCATGGCAGTTCTTGAGCAAGGCAGGCAAGTTCATGCGCTTGCTCTTTATCTTGGTTTAGAACAGAATCCCACTATTCGTAGTGCTCTGATCAATATGTACTCGAAATGTGGAAGTATCATAGAAGCTTCAAAGGTATTTGAAGAAAAAGACAGAACTGATATCGTTTCTTTGACAGCCATGATCAATGGATATGCAGAACATGGAAAGTGCGAAGAAGCGATTGATCTGTTTGAGAAGAGTCTCAAGCTTAGTTTCAGACCCGACGATGTAACTTTCATCAGCGTTCTCACTGCCTGCTCTCACTCGGGACAGCTTGACCTCGGGTTTCAATATTTCAACTTGATGCAAGAGAATTATAATATGAGACCAGCCAAGGAGCACTATGGTTGCATGGTTGATCTTCTATGTAGAGCAGGACGGCTCAATGATGCAGAGAAGATGATCAACGAGATGCCATGGAAGAAGGACGATGTAGTCTGGACCACACTTCTCAGAGCGTGCAAGGAAAAAGGGGACGTTGAACGAGGAAGAAGGGCGGCCCAGAGGATTCTAGAGCTAGATCCTACTTCTTTTACTACACTTGTAACATTAGCCAATATACATTCAAGTACAGGGAATTGGAAAGAGGCTGCAAATGTAAGGAAGGATATGAAATCAAAAGGCGTGATCAAAGAGCCCGGATGGTCATCAATTTTGATCAAGGATCAGGTTTCAGCCTTTGCATCTGGCAGTCTGTCCCATCCACAAAGTGAAGATGTATGCAGTATCTTGGAATTAGTAGTAATTGATTCAGAGGCTCATAGATACGATTGTGCAATAAAGAGAGCTTTTGGGTTGATTCAAATTTGTGGGTTTTAACTCTTAACATGTTCCAGACGATATTGGCCCTTAATACAATAACATACGTGGTAAGGTATATAGCTCGAACAACAAGAATGAAATGGGAATCAAAGGAAATCTTTTTAAATCTTTTAATTACTTTTCTTATCATCGGTCATCTTTAAACCAATTAAGTAGCACATATACTGCAAAACCTAGAGCTGATGCAGCAGCAACCGTAAAGACGACTACTTGTACTGAGAATGATGAGGCAAAAGCTTCGAGAACAAGTGAGTTCCAAGTTATGTACCATAAGGTGGAGTAAACAGAACCCAAGATTGCACCCACCACCACTTGACTGGTCGTGTGAAGCTTCTGGGAAACCCTTAACCATGTCTGCATTACAGTTAGCATCAGTTGTCGTGTAATTGAATTATTTCGTTTATATGATTCTACTCTAGTTTGAACTTGTTCATGCCAGATGTGAAGAAGACTTACAAAGTAGGAACCCAGCGCGAGGATGAGGCCGCTAAGGAACAGAGAGAGTTCATTGGTTCCAAGCCACTCCATAACTGCGGAGATATGAGTAAAGTCATCTTAGAGTTGATCAATCAAATGCCAAGAAACAGAGACCGAAAACGCTGAGCATCGGCTGCTTACCAGACAAGACGGTAAAAACAGAGATGAAAGAAATGGATTGGGCGTGAGAAGATGGCATCCCAGGATCAGAACGCAATGTAGCAACCGGTCTCTCTTGGTTAAGTATACGTTTGAGAGCTACCGAAAGCGCAGAATTTGAAACGGATCCAATCACAGCCCACAAAGCTGCACCGTCGTGTCGTAGAAGCAGAACGGTTCCAAATAGAGTAGCAACAACCCATTTGCTCTGCCATTTGACAAAAACCGAAAATCCTTTCACAAGTAACCAAAATGCAACAAAAAGGAAAGAGATTTTTAATTTTTTCCAAATTTCAATCTTTCACTGGGAGAGCATTACATCAAACAGTTTGTGTGCATCAGAGAATTCGAGTACCAACCAGACGATTAGCAACGGCTTCGATCCCACCGCCGGCGTCGGCGACCATATCGTTCTGGAGCTCCGACGGACTATCGATGAAAGCCTCCTGCTCGAGCGCCTGAAACCGTTCTTCGCCGTCATTACTGTCGCCGTCTCTCCAAGCATGGGTTTTGACTGAATCTGCCATAGTTTTTATAGGACCCGAAGCAGGCCAAGTCCTCCTCCGAATCAAAGGGAAGATTGAGCTCGAACTTGGAAATCGAGCGGAACGAATGTAAGCGGGAACAGAGGAAGGACCAAAATATAAATTGGAGGTGGGTTTGTGGAAGAGAATAAGAGATGATGCTGCCATATCCAAAGAAAAAACTTAAAATCGCTGCACAATTATATATATTAATTGAAAACTTTAAGATCAAATCGTGAAGACGAAGAAGGACCAGATTTTACATGTTTTGTTTCGCTAACTGAGATAATCTGTTGTAAGGAGTAGTAATAGTTATTCAAAAAAAAAAATAGTAAATATTTTTTTTACTTTTATTAACTCCAAAACAGCGATCAAGTGCCATCCATTAGTCCACCAAAAATCGGTATAACCTACCTCACCCGAAATTGAATGATCTCCTCGACAATTGGATTTATGGGCCGGTTTACTATGATCCAAAGGGAAAAAAAAACTCTTTGAAGGTCAAATTAAATGAAATGAATCAATGTATGGTTGAGAAAAAGAAACATCATGTAACTTCTTCACGATTTGGGTTGAGAAAAAGAACTGTGAAGATGAACTTTTTTTACTTTTTCCACAGCGAACGTGTTTATAAATTCTACTTACCCACCCATGTGGCAGACTGTGATCGTGTGCTAGAATCTTTCGTTCGTCGAATTGCCACATCCTACTTATGGGCCTATTTGCTTAAAATTGGCCCATTGAGAACTGATGAATCCTATTATCCCTCTGTTTCTACCTTTCTTGTGATTATGGCAAGGAATTTGTGCTTTTTCTTAACCAATGGATATGGGGGAAAAGAATATACATCAAAGCTTAAACTGAAAATGAATATGTTTAACCAAGTTGAATTGTTGAAACCCGAATCTGATCGAAATAATGCATTAACGGTGAGAAAGCCGTATACACGTCGTTTATGCTTCAGAATATTATGAATGTCTCATCGTTTTGGAACATTGTAGCTTATTCTGGATTTTTTAGCCATACATACATGTGATGAATAATACGTATATAGATATATACATATATTATTATATTTAAATTTATGCGGTGAATAAATATTATTTTGTATACTACTGTATATATATGAAGAATTCATGTCTATTGGAGGTCGAATATGCTGAACAACCTTGGCAAGGAAAAATAAAATAAAAGATGTAACAAAAAACTTGACCCAATTACATTACTATACGTATACTTAGAAATATATTCTTGTTTATCTTTTATAGTTTTATATATTCAAGCTGATGTGTAAATAGATTCTCGCACAGAAAAGTTTTTCTATTGAACTCACAGAATTTTTTTATCCAAATATAACAATTATTTTCGATTATAACTCGTAAAAGCAGCGATTATTTCAGACAAAAAAAAAACCCCATAAGTTTCTTGGTTTAAAAGAGATAATTATTTTCCTCTACGAGAATGTTCTCCTCACTTTATAATATATCACTTTTTGTTTGTTTTGAACAAAAAAAATCTTTTACATCCGTAAGATGCAAATTTTAATAGAAGATGAAGCTCATTAATTACTCGGCAGAGCTTTGCATTTAGTTCATCGGCAATCATTCTAATAAAAACCATTTTAGAAAGAAAGAAAAATAAATAAACCAAATCACCTTGGTCAGTGGTAATTTCTAAATAAGGGATTTTTGGGTTTGAGTTGTCTTGACCAATCTAGCTGCACTTTAAATTTGGAATATTTTCGAACGTATACCCGGATGCAAAGCTTTGTGGAATTAGTCTTTGTACTTAGAAATTTTTTGGAATCCTACGGTTAAAAAAAATAAATAAAAATAAACTGCAAAAAAGGCTAAGATAATAATATAGTTCAACACGACAGGTTGCAAACTGAAGTAAGGTTGGAGTGTGGCTTGCCACAACGCCAAAGCGTCTTGTCATTGGAGGTGAAAACTGGGTGTCGTTTTTCTTTTAAAATATTTTCAAAATTATCATGATGCGTCTATCGCTCTGTCAAACTCAATCTACAAAGTACAGTTTTACATAATGTTGTGGCAGAAATTGAACAAGACCTGAGTCAAATATGGAAAAAATAAAAGTCTGAAAGTGAAAAAGAGATTAACACGGTGTCGTGTCGCACCAAATAGTCCTAAAATTCATGATGATTTTATCACTGACCACATAGTGGTCAAAGTTTTGAATCAGGACCCCAACAAGGAAACAATCTTCTGCCCTACTTCCTACTCGTCTATGAGTTATGATTCATCACTTTACCAAATTGATATAGTATGATATAAATATAAGTAAATATAGTGCCAAGGTTTATAGAGATTTAAGGCAAACTAAAAAAATAGGACCTTTTTCATTTAAAAAAAAAAGTTTTCTAACAAAAAAATATAATATAATTTTAAAATCATATAAAATATTCAAAAATAAAATTTTAATCTAAAAAAACTAATTAAGACATAATCTTTCTTCCTTCTTTTTCAATAAACTTTTTCACAAAACTCTTATAATCAAGGTCCTTAACTAGTTTTCTTTCTATAGATATGATAGATAGGCCATTCAATCTTTCTTGTGACATAGTTGATTGCAACTAAGACTTTATTAACTTCAACTTTGAAAAACTTCTTTCAGCCAAGGCAACTGAAACTGGAATCATCAGCAATATCTGATAAGCAATCTATGAAATTTTTTTTCTCTTGGGCTTTAGGGTTTTGGTCTTATTTTAGGATATTATAAAGTCGATAATCTAAACAAATCTTAATCAATTTCCTAAAACTATTGGGAGAATGTAATCTTAATCTATTTCCTATATCTATTCTTTTTTTTCTCTCTTATAAACAAAAATAAGAAAACATCTTATGTAAAAAAAAGATCTCATGCCAACCATAAACCACTTAACCACCTCTTAAGAAAATGGGGGCTCTGAAAAATTAACATATTTTGGGGGCTTGAAGCGAAAGCCTTTTTCACTACATGGTAAGCACGGCTCTGAGTAAATACTATAAGATATATGTGTATATTTGTATCAGTATATGTATACGCGTGCGTGCAAGTGTGCGTTTGTGGATATAAGAATGATGCTTGAGAATGGTATTACATGCGCATATTCAAAAGAGAATTAACTCAAGGAAGCAAATATATATAACATGGGATCGAACTAGTCTATATATAACTTTTTATTATATTTTTCAAATTATCTACTAATTAACAGCATTCGAAGGCTTATTATGATCTTTTCAAAAAAATGTCGCCCGCTTTTTCTTGTTCAAAAATAGTCGTCCGCTTAAATACATTTTTCGAAGGCTTATTATGATCTTTCTTTAATTTCAAGAACATTTTTAACAATCCGACCGAGAAATCGCTTCTTTAGTTGCAGAGGGAGTGAATTAATGAGAGTCAACAACGAGTAGTCTCACTTGCCATTAAATTCAACAATCATACAAGAAATAATAATTTATTAATGTTACAAATATTAAAAGAAACATTAATCTATTCAGGTTATACTCATAATCAGCATTTTAGAACTCCAGTTTTTGTCAGTTTCTAAATCAAGTTTGATAATTAGTTGTAACGTCGCGAATTCGTGTGTTTTTCTCCGATCCGGTCAACTGTCCGATCCCCACCTAGTCACCGACATATATAACTTCTCATTGAATACATTACTGTAATTAACAAGTTAACAATATTTGCTTATTTTTTTCAGAAATCATAACTTTTCCCTGCTAATTTGTCATTTATTGTCATGAAAAATAAACAAGTCAAAGATAACTGAAAAATAAGATAGGAATACCAGATAATAAGCCAGAGGGAGAACAAGTATATATATATGGAGACGGTGGGATGCACGGGAAAGAAAAAAGAGAAAGAGAGTTAAGGTAAGTAATAATATAGAACTGAAAAGGACTTATATAAATGAAACGGTGAAATGCACGAGAACGATAACGAGATATATTATAGTCAAGCAAATACGAAGTGGTACACTCCTCTTAACAGCGGTAGTTATACGGATGCCATACGCATCACGTGAACCGGAAGAACAAAAAAAAAAAAAAAAAAACAGATTCTCTGTTACATCACTTTTTGCAATTTTGCTCGGTCTAAAGTTTTTGTATTTAAGTATGATTATGAATAGTTGAAATCTGTCAAATGTGAAATCATTTCCAACTTGAGATTATACAGCGAACATCAAAGTCTACGGATTATGTATAAGAATATGGAATCATTTGCTTATGTCTGATAAGCACTTATACTCGTCTTTATAACTCAAGATGAAACATTATTAACGGTATAACTGCTAGACATTTGTTATATGTTTTCTTTTTATATTACAAGAGCTATCAACTATATGAAAAGTGCAGATATTTATTATGTCTTACGATACAAATATTAAAATTCTGAAATAATGTTTTTTTTTTCTAGAAACAAATATAAAAGAATACTCTAAAATGAAACTAGTACGTATGAAAACAAGATGTGTTTGCATACGGAATAATAACGGGAATATGTATTATCTATATCTAATCTAAAGTTAGATATATGAAAATATATGTTATTTTTTTAGAAAAAAAAAAGGAAGAGTGTGTGTGGTGTATAAGTTGGGAGTGGAGACGAGTCTATAAAAGAGACATCTATGGGAAGAGGCTCTGCTCCACTTTTCCATCTTCTCTCACTTTCTCTATATTGACACTGTATATATCTTCCATCTCTCCTCTCTGAGTCTCTTGTTTCTCCCGAAGAATGGATTCGATCGATTTCGACAACGTCAAAGCAGAGAAAGCCAAGGCGTTGCGGCGATTCAACCGCTTCCGGAGAATCGGCCGTTTTTTTCGTGCGGCGGAGTTTTGCGTCGCGATCCTCTTCGTCTTCTGGACATTCACGCGCCTTCCCTTCGCCGTCCAAATCTCCCGAGAGTTTCTCCGCCGTATCGCCGCCGTTATATCGACTCCTCTGTTCGTCTTCCTCCTCGGGAACTGCATCGTCGTTGTTCTCCTCGCCAAATCCTCTGACCAGACAACCGGCGCCGCCGCACGCGCGGAAACCGATATCTACCAGGCGTTCGTCAGATCTGTAGAGGATCGATCCAAGCCGTCCGATGAAGATCTGACTGCAGAGGAGATCGTTTACGACGACAAACAGGTGATCCTCACTACTGATGATCATTTGAATTTGAATTCAAATCCGAATCCGATTCCAGTCGCCGGTGAGAATATTCCTCAACGCGGAAACGACCACGTCGAGATTGACTTTGACTGCGTTTCCGACGAGCCCAAGGTCTACCGGAGAAGCAAATCTGCCATACAGGGTCCAGACGATGATGATGAAGATGAGATGGTGGTGAAACCTAAATGTCTCCAGAGATCGGAGACGGAGAAGTGCAGGAAATTCGAGGACGGAGAAATAACGAAAGGGGATAAGAAGAAGAAGAATTATCCAGAGGATAACCTTAGCAACGAAGAGTTTCAGAAAACGATCGAAGCTTTCATAGCCAAACAGTTGATGTTTCGTCGCCAGGAATCTTTAGCCGTCGTTGTCCATAACAAAAGCCTAATTCATTAAATTATTACTAAAATGGCATCAGATTCTATATCCAGTTCGAATCAACAACAACAACAACAGAGTTTTGTGAAGATAGATCAAGAAATCCACTACGAAACTTAATCATATGGAATCTTATTTTTACTATTCCGTGTGTAAAATCCCCTCTCTATATTTACATGTATGTACAGTACTAATTTAGTTGCTTATTGTTGAAGATAATATAAATAGATCTTTTTTTACTTGTTGTTTTAGTGACACTTTTACTTCCTCAAGTCTAATGATACAAACTTGGAGTATAAATGTTGTCTTGTGACACTCAATATTATGTCGTTATACCACAAAAGTTTTATTGTTGTCCAAGAAACAATCAATTTAGGTCTGTCTTTTTTTTTTCTTTCTTTTTTTTTTTCCTTTTATCGTCGCATGAAACCTTCAGGGTTAACTTAAATATATAATCGGCACTTGCATTAATGAACAAACTATCTATAGTTCACAGTTAAATAAAATATTTAATTCTCAAGCCCTAGAATTCCCAACTTTTGTATGTAGGACTTCTTAAACACGAACCAATCACTTGGTCAATGAAATTTGTGTGCCTAATATATATATAGTTTATTAACTCTTACAGTTTATTTTCCTTACAGTATTTTGCTCATAATGGCGTTTCGGACTTTTACACCGACTAAGTCTCATGCCTGCAATAATTAACCATGCAAGAATATCTATGTATTCAAGAGGAATCGAGTTAATCAAACTACAGAGGCGGCAGAGCAAAGCTTTACACAATTACACAGATGCATTGTTATTTTCAAAAACAAAAATAAAAAGTCCATGCCAAAAAAGTAGCCCCGAAACTAAAGATGATTCATGATGGTCGCATGATGGTCTTCTTTATAGTGACATTTCTAGCAATTAGAGAATCTCCCTTGTTACCGTCAGATCCGTCGAAAAAAGATTCCAAGTCAGATATATGAATATGAGTCTAGATTTCATTCATAATGGTATTTGAAGAATGGCCGAGTTGGTGGACGGGTGATAGCGCCAATCAATATATGTAGCTTCCAAAGCAAATATGATTCAATAATATATTGTCTAAAATATGATGCATAGGAAAATCTAACAATCATTCTAAAAAAACTCTATAAACTGTAAAATAAGAAATAAAAGAAAATATATATGCTATTGAATATACGCTGTAAGCACATGATGTGATGTGGTTATAGCAATGCAAAACTAGATGTTGTTTACAGAAATTAACAATGGCAGTATTAAATGGAAATTTTTGGATTGGTAAAAATCGAAAAGAGTGCATACTTAATTATTTATTACTAAATTGAAGGAAACTTCATATATAATGCTTCATGGGAATGATTGATGGTCTAGTAAGTCATCTCAATGATCTCGTAGTCTTCGATTATTAGATTAAAGTAGAACGAAATTCAAATTTAAAAATAATATTAATTTGCTGAAAGCGGCCGTGTTTCTGATGGGTATTGGCACCAATCATAGTGTAATAATTTTGAATGCAAAAAGTTTTAAATTTTCACTTTTATGCAGACACCCACGCAGAAAAATTAAGAAGAAAAGTGACTTTATTTTCACTAAGTCCCGTAATCTCTGCTCAACCAAAATAAAAGTCGGTTCTTTACCCTTCTTTTTTGACAGATTTGGATTCCCTGATATTGAGCCGATCCATCTTTTGCATAATAGTACGTATTTTAAAATGATTTTGTTTGAATTTGATTTTTGTTGGGTGATTGATTGTTGCATTTAATTAATTCTTTTTGGCGGACTCTTTCAATTAGCAGCAATCATGATATTTCCACCACGAGCGGCTATTGCTATAGGTATTGTTGGATTTGTCATTAAGTAACTTTAGTAATATACCATCCAAAGGCCTTTCTTTCTTTGGTTATAACACAACGCAATTCAGAGAGAAAATTGAGTCTCTCTCTTTTTTTGGTTAGAATGCATGTAAATTTATTTCAACAAATTTTTTTTTTCCAAAATGCAACTTTTCTGAAGTTTTTACGATGTTAAGATAACAAAAGGAGTACCATGAATTAAATATAGACTAAAAACTAAACAGTTTAGTTTATAGGGCTCGTTAATAGTAGTATTAAATAAAACCAAATGTATTTTAGGTATATATATATATATATATATATATATGCGGACAAGTGTTTGTTTGTGATAAAAAAAAACTTAAAGAAAATGTGATTTTGAATGTTTCCTATTTTCCCTTCCACTTCCCTTTATATTATAACAAATTGAATTTGATGCTGAGATTTTCTTCACTCTAGCTCCTTTTAAATTTATTTTTATTAAATTTAAAACAAGGATTGATTACCTTAAATTATACAGACATTACATGTATTTTTATCTCATTATTACAGAGGAGTGCATGAGAGAAAAAGGTTAGGTTAATATGTTGACGTAAATTAAATTATCATTGACACGTACAGTTTAGCTTCCTTTTTTTCTCTTCTTTTTGATAAAGATATAGCTTCCTTTTTCTAATATCCCACATATGACATATCAACGGTCGACCGAAACGACCTAAATGATCTAAAGCTCATATCAGATATATGCACAAAAATTAGGGTAAATTTATAACTTATATATATGCTACGTGTTTATGCGCCAACGTGCCTCATATCGGACCCTGCCCACACATTGATTTGTTGCTAGAAATTATATGTTGTACACTTTTCGGTTCTTTCTAGTGTTCGATTATTTGTGTGCCTATTCTACGCAAAATACACAGAAAATAATTGGTTTCAACAATAAATCTGAGTGCCTACTTTTATAGTGTGTATCGTCGACATGCTTCAAACATAGGGTTAAAAAGGTTAAAATAAAAAAAAACATAAAGAAGACAATAAATTGATTGGACATGTGATTTGAGTACTCGGGGGTCATTAAGTAATAAAGAAGAGTCGAGGTCATAAACGACACTTGCGCAATAAACAGAGAAATACAGAACTCTAAGGACGTCTTATAACAGACAAAACTATATATGATATTTTTCGTAATAAACAAAACCATAGGGGCTCTGTATAATAAACAAAACTTTAGACTAATATATGTAAGAAGCAAATAAATATAGTAGTGGCAAATCTATGATAAACTCAGAACTCTAGGCCAAATACGTCATAATCGAAAATGAGAGGAAATAATCTGTAATTATACAAAAAAAAGGAAAATAAACGAGTCGGAATGCGATTGGTGCCACCAACCGACATAAGAAAAAGAAAAGGGGGAGTGTAGAACAGTAGAAGACTGGAGAAGGCAAACGATTCAAATCCGAGTGACGATGGAAGGCGAAACTCATCGAGTCTTCTGCGTCGGAACCGTCGATACAAAGCTTGCTGAGCTACGATTCCTTGCGGGATCAGTGCGATCAAACATCGGAGCCTTCTCCAACAACTCATCTTCCAAGGTAAAAATCACTTGATTGTTGCTGAGACGGAGCTACATATCTGGGATTTGTTCATCTTCCAACGTTTTTCATTGGAATAGCACAGGTTGAGGTTGTGATTGTGGATGTTTCGGCGAGTAGTAGTGATCATAAGGAGAAGGAGGATGTTGGGGACTTTGCATTTGCAAGCAGAGAAGAGGTTCTAGCATGGTATCCAGGATCATCAATCCCTGTGAAACTCCCCGATGATAGAGGCGAGGCAGTTGGAATGATGAGTAAATGTCTTGAGAATTTTCTCAGGCAAGCATTTGAGGATAATTCTCTTGCTGGGGCCATAGGCCTTGGCGGAAGCGGAGGAACATCGCTCATTTCATCTGCTTTTAGGTCTCTCCCGATTGGGATCCCAAAGGTCATTGTATCCACTGTGGCCAGCGGTCAGACCGAACCTTATGTTGGGACATCAGATCTGGTGTTAATTCCTTCCGTAGTAGATGTCTCCGGTATCAACAGTGTTAGTAGGGCGGTGTTTTCAAATGCTGGGGCTTCTTTTGCGGGTATGGTACTCGGGAGGCTTGAGATGTTGAGAAGCTCCCCATTTGAGAACGCGAAATGCACTGTGGGTATTACTATGTTTGGGGTAACAACTCCCTGTGTAAATGCCATTCAAGAATCACTAACTAGACAAGGTTATGAGACACTTGTGTTTCATGCTACGGGTGTCGGTGGCAGAGCAATGGAATCTTTGGTTGAACAAGGTTTTATACAGGTCTCTCTTCCATTTAATCCCTTCCATTCGCCGAGATTTTTTGTTTACTTATATAGCACTAACTAATTTTGCTCCATGATTTATGCTGTTGGTCCTTAAATTTTTTGGTTGTGGCTTTGATAATGTTTCATTTACCTGTTCTTACCTCAGGGAGTAATGGATATTACAACAACCGAGGTTGCAGACCATGTAGTTGGAGGGGTGATGGCATGTGATAGTTCCCGTTTCGATGTTATCATAGAAAAAGGGATACCGTTGGTTTTAAGTGTAGGGGCCTTAGACATGGTGAACTTTGGTAGCAAAGATACAATTCCTTCTCATTTCCAAACGAGAAAGATTCATGTCCACAATGAACAGGTGAGGAGGAATCAGTCGTTCTTCCCGCCTTTGAACTATGTTGAGTGTTTTTTTACAATAGCGTATGTTTCTGTTTTTGGCAGGTTTCTCTCATCCGAACAACAGTTGAAGAGAACAAAAAGTTTGCAAAGTTTATTGCAGATAAACTGAACGAATCAACTTCAAAAGTGAGGGTTTGCCTTCCAGAGAAAGGTGTCTCAGCACTGGATGCTCCAGGGAAGCCTTTCTGTGATCCAGAAGCCAGTGGTGCTCTCATAAATGAACTGCAGAGGCTTATTCAAGCAAGTGAAGACAGGCAGGTATTTCCTTATTTTTCAGTAAAACAAATGGCAAAAAGTAGACGAGAGCGTCATGTCTGTCTTTACTTGCTTAAAAAAGCCTCTGCTTTTAGGGAATTGAAATGTTGCGTATTTTGACAGGTCAATATATATTCTCATCACATCAATGACCCTGAGTTTGCAGAGGCATTGGTTGCTTCGTTTCTCGAGATCTGTCCGAAAACCTACGCACAAAGTAAACCCTCTGAGACGGCCTCAACAAAACCTAGCACTGGAGAGCCTAAGGATGGACATGTTTCTAAGATGAGGTCGAGGCCTGAAAGAATTCCATACAGTCCCAAAGATTTCCCCAATGCAAAACCAGGTTCCTTTTGTCCTTCCTAATTATACTGTTCAATTGGTATTTCGAGTCATTTTGATATGGAGTTGCATGTTATTAAGCTTAGTTATCATCATTGGCTTCAGATACCGTGGAACGAACTCAGACCATTTTGGGACGGCTAAGAGATCAAATAGAGAAGGGAATACCAATAATTGGGGGAGGTGCTGGTACGGGAATATCTGCAAAGTTTGAGGAAGCTGGTGGGATTGATTTGATAGTGATATACAACTCTGGACGTTTCCGGATGGCTGGAAGAGGATCCTTGGCAGGCTTGCTTCCATTTGCTGATGCCAATGCAGTCGTGCTTGAAATGGCAAATGAAGTTTTGCCCGTCAGTGTCGTTACTCACTCCCATCAATCAGTCATTCACACAAAATGAGAGCAGAAGAAGCTTGCATCTCTTTCCAGTTGCACTATTCATGCAGTTCTCTCTCTAAGACCTGTTTTCTTATGTCGAATCCAACTTGCAGGTAGTGAAGGCGGTGCCTGTTCTTGCTGGGGTATGCGCAACCGATCCATTTCGGCGTATGGACTATTTTCTGAAGCAGTTGGAGTCCATTGGGTTCGTTGGGGTCCAGAACTTTCCAACTGTTGGGCTATTTGATGGTAATTTTAGACAAAATCTTGAGGAGACGGGAATGGGATATGGGTAGGCTACAAAAACAAAACCTTTTCATTTTCAAGAATCATATTTTTTTTGTATCTATCCCCTATAATGCTTAAATTTATACAAACCAAACTTTTGTGCTGTTGCAGACTGGAAGTTGAAATGATCTCAAAAGCGCATAAAATGGGGCTGTTGACCACTCCATATGCTTTCAACCCAAAAGAAGGAGAAGAAATGGCGAAGGCAGGAGCTGATATAATAGTAGCACACATGGGTCTAACGACATCTGGAACTATTGGGGCGCAAACCGCAGTGTCGATGGAAGAAAGCGTTGTTCGCGTACAAGCTATAGCAGATGCTGCTCGTAGATTCAACCCGGACATTATAGTGCTCTGCCACGGAGGTATAGTTACTTGTCGAATCCAACACTTACGGTTTGGTAAGAGTTTTGTCGTAGCAAGAATTTTTTTTTGTATGTAGGTCCGATATCGGGTCCAGAGGAAGCAGAGTTTGTGTTGAAGAGAACAAAGGGTTGTGTCCATGGCTTCTATGGAGCATCAAGCATGGAAAGGCTACCTGTGGAGCTAGCTATAACAAGCACTGTCAAGAGATACAAATCCATAGCGATCAAGTGAAGTCAAGATAGTAAAGCTTTTTTTTTTTTTTATCTTGGCATGTGTTGTTTCTGTGGCAGATGTTTCCGTTCGATTGCATAATATTTTTTCGTTTTGGCTTCGCTTGTTTACTATCTCTACTTCTGTACTACAACACCTTTACTTATTTTAACATTTTGTCCATAGGTTTCACAGAAAGCTAACTCTTATTTTAATATTTACCCGAAGGATCCAGCTAACACAAATCGATCATTTTCCCCTGTTTTTCAACTCCCCGGCAGACGAATTAAAGTTTTTCCGGCGAGAGTATCGGTAAAATCAATGAAATTGAACAAAACGTTCTCGCGTCCAACGGCCAAATTATTTGACCATTTGTAATGATCGAAATCTTAAATGGGCATTTAATAATGGGCCAATAAGTAAGCCCAATAACAGTTGTTATCTCCATCGAATTTGGGTCGGCGTAATTAAAGTGTTAAGCAACTCAGACGAAAAAGAAATGTAACGGCCGCCAAACCAGACGAAAAAACAAAAACATGGATTTACTAAAGTGGTTTTTGGAAACTTGTTAAAGCAACATATCTGCATTTAATGGATGATGCTACTTGAAGGTTAAAAATTCAGTCATCTGGTGGCTAGCTGTTGGTTACGTTCCGAATTTGAGTCTCTTAGCTCTGGGGAAGTCGGGTGCAACATCGGTCCCCAACCTTTTAGAGCGGTCGTGAAGATATAAGCAACTCTCGCCAAGCTTACACCCTCTGCCTCTACCAAAATACTTGCACGGTTTCTGAAACCTAACCTTTACTAGCTTCTTCTTCTTCTTCTTCTTATTGTTATTACTATTATTATCAACCCTTGCTTTGTAGTTGTTAGTTTCATTTGTCCCCGGAGCAACCCCCCCGTGTTCCCTAATAAGGTTCTTGAAATAGTCCAGATTTCTTACGGGTTGTTTTGCAGAAACCCCATCATCCTGGTTTATGTTCGTCATCGGGTATGCACCGTTCCGGATTTGAGCATCAGTTATAGTTTGCGCTGATTCCAGTACCCTCTTCATATCCCAAGTGCTGGAAGTGGAAATGATTAGGGATTGAGAGTCCGGGTTTGGTACAGTCTTTTGATCCGACACTAGAACATCATCAACTGAGCTTGGTTTCAAGGAATCTTCAAGTCCTGACAATGGATAAGTGTGAAAAACCAGGGGAGGTTTCTGGAGGTTAAGGTTCATTGGTAAAGCACTGGACTGAACAGAAACAGGGACAATATGCGGAACACCATTTCCACCAGGCTGGGTAACAGGTTCAGGAGGTGGGTTTCCATCCATGGCTGAGGAGGTGAGAACAAGTCTAGGTTGGGTGGTGATAGTGGTGTGAGTTTTATTCCCAGTTCCAAGCGGTTTACCTGTAGTGTCATTCATCATCAGGTTCTTGATCAATTTCGGGTCACTGAGGAACTTGACGAGTAAATCAGCATCGACCAGACTCTCTTGTTCCTTTGTTTTCATCAACAACGCAGACAGAGCAGCCAGAGTCAAGTCTTCTGGTCCAAGTCCAAAAACAGCTGCAGGGGATTTGGAGCTGTGAGAAGGTTCAAAAGAAATAGGTTCACATTCGTCCTCATCTTCAATGGGAGTGAGACGTATGTTGGGAGTTTTGCTGTCGTCATAGCTTTCATCTTCTACAGCCGGTGAAACCAAAGGACTACGTGGAAACAGAGAATGTGTTAGTTAATTAGTGATAAAAATTAGCCTATTGCAATTATCTTAATTTTCAGGGTTTTTCTTTTTAGGAAAAATTTACCGGCTAGGGATGAGAGAGCGGTGTGGATAGAAAGCTTCCAAAACTTTTGCAATCCTCAAATTTTCACAACGGGTTTCTGTACTCTCTCCACCACTTGCAACAAGCATATCATCATTGAGAATAAACTGCTTTGGCATAAATAAATAACTATCTCAGGGGGGAGATTTAAAACACACTTAAATGCATTGTTTGCTATTCAAACAAAAAAATAAAAAAAAGAATGATCTTGATTACTTTTCGTGGGTGTTTCCATTTAATCCGGGGAATATGTGACATGTTACGCCTCGTTTCATATTCATTTCCTTGAGATCTTTGAGTTGGAAGATTCGATGCCTTTGGTTTGCTTGTTGTTTGAGGCGCAACTTTCGAAGGACAATCTTCTGTTCGAAACATCATCACCTGTTGATATATATACATATACGTACTTAATTAGTTAGTAACCAAATAATCTCACTATGTCCTCAGCCTCTTTATCTAACTAGAGCAACAAAACAGTCCATTTTTCAGGATCTTAAAAGTTGCCAAACTTAATCTGCAAATACAAATAGTTTTTGTATACCCCTCCAAAAAGGTAAACCCTATATTTTTCATTAAAGTTGGTTCCTTTACTTCCTTGAAGAAGGATGAACATGTACACTGTATAGGATTCTCTTCGTTAGAATTAAAAAATTATATGAAAATTAAATTATTAAATCAACCAAGTCACAAATCAATTCCTTTGTTGACCATTGTTGATATTTTAAGGTTCAATGAGTGAGTGGGTAATAAATTATTTCACACATAAGATAAGAAGAAGGGAGAGAGATCGTCGACGAAAACATCCAACTCTTTTAAAGGAAGATGACGGTGGCTATACCTGACAAAGCATACTATCTGATGGCCATGAAACCCTCGATTTCTTCATTGTATTAAACCAAGTATCTCTCGACTAACCAATCGGGAAATCGATTTCCTTTGTCTGTTAAAATCAAATCAATAACCACTTTTCAGATTCAAAACGAAACGAGCAATCCGATTTTCCAATAGACCAGCACTATCCAAGCCTCAACGAGTCCGAAAGTCGTCTGCTAAAGAGGAAGAAGAGACGTCGGCGAAACGGTTTGTGTGGGAGAGAAAACCCTATAAAAAAATATTGACTATTTGACTTTACAGTGAAGAATATAAAAATAATGATAGGGGCCCTTCCCATTCCTAATCATACTCTTCTAATGTTGACGTATAATTAAGTCTCTCCACGACTCAATTTACAATTCCCAATTTAACAAAAATTCTTATTTAATACCACTAATAAGTAATAAACTTTCTTTTTTGAACGTTACGTTTTCTGCGAAACTTACCTATTTTGTATGTATTTACGCTTTAGCGGCTCGTTGGTGCTTGAGCGTCGGTCGGTCAAGCAATTCACTGGGTTATAAATAAATTTTACTTATAGCTTAGGGCCATCAATCTATATATTCAAGCCCACTAATATTGGGACTGCGCTTCGAAGCCCATAGTGGTACCAGCAAGGCCCAATAGATATAGATAACATAATAAAACTAATCGTGAACGGTCAACGCTTGCCGGGGATTTGCCAAACAGGTACGTCTTTACGTAGCCTTACAGAATCATCTATTAAATTACCAAATTAACCATCTCTCGGTCATGAAGCAGACAGAAAGCACAAGCTCTCTGTCTCTCTCTCACCTTCGTAATCGTCCATGGCCTATATAAGTAATGGAACCAGTCGGAGCTTAATAAAAAGGAATCAAACAGAAAGGCCATCGTGCACCTCACCTCTCTCCATTCCTCCTGATCCGATCTGACTCCACCAACCATCAATGGCGTCCGAAGACAAAGTGTCCAGATCCGAAGCTGAGACCACTCCAAACGGTGGTTCTTCTGAGATGAGGAAGATTGCACTGGTAACCGGAATCACGGGGCAGGATGGATCATACCTGACGGAGTTCCTGCTGGGGAAAGGCTATGAAGTTCACGGGCTTATCAGACGATCGTCAAATTACAACACGCAGCGAATCAACCATATCTACGTGGATCCCCACAATGTGAACAAAGCTCGCATGAAGCTCCACTACGCCGATCTCTCAGACGCCTCCTCGCTCCGGCGCTGGCTCGACGTGATCAAGCCAGACGAGGTTTACAACCTTGCTGCTCAGTCGCATGTGGCCGTCTCCTTCGAGATCCCTGACTACACCGCCGATGTCGTCGCCACTGGAGCTCTCCGCCTCCTGGAGGCTGTCAGATCTCACATCTCCGACAATGGCCGCAACATCAAGTACTACCAGGCCGGATCCTCGGAGATGTTCGGGTCAACTCCTCCTCCGCAATCTGAGACCACGCCCTTTCACCCTCGATCTCCCTACGCTGCCTCCAAATGCGCCGCTCACTGGTACACCGTCAATTACAGGGAAGCTTACGGCCTCTACGCCTGCAACGGCATCCTCTTCAACCACGAGTCTCCTCGCCGTGGAGAGAACTTCGTGACCAGGAAGATAACCAGGGCCTTGGGCAGGATCAAGGTCGGATTGCAGACCAAGCTCTTCCTGGGAAACATACAGGCCTCGAGAGACTGGGGATTCGCTGGGGACTACGTCGAGGCAATGTGGCTCATGCTCCAGCAGGAGAAACCAGATGACTACGTGGTCGCAACTGAGGAATCACACACCGTCGAGGAGTTTCTGGAGGTGTCCTTCGGCTACGTCGGGCTCAACTGGAGAGACCATGTTGAGATCGACAAGAGGTACTTCAGGCCAACGGAGGTCGACAATCTCAAAGGAGACGCAACCAAGGCTAAGCAGGTGTTGAAGTGGACCCCTAAAGTAGGGTTCGAGCAGCTCGTCAAGATGATGGTCGACGAAGATCTCGACATGGCTAAGAGGGAGAAAGTCCTCGTCGATGCTGGTTACATGGACGCTCAGCAGCAACCTTAATCTCCTCTCGAGCTGCCCGTCCCAGCCAAAACAAAAAAAAAAGAGTCCCATCATCATTATCTGCCCCTTCCTTCCTACCCTTTTTTTCTTTTCTTGGTTGTTGTTATTGGACGATCTAATTCTGTTTCAAAGTTTTTCCATTTCTTGTTTCCTCTTTTCTTGTTTCAAGTTGTTCAACTCGATCCACTGTGGATTTTGTATCATCATAAGCAAAAACAAAGCGCATTACATATATATATATGAATTTTCCTATGAAACTCACTCAGATAAATAAACTAAAGCAAAAAAGTATGAAAAATAATAAAATGACAAAAGAAAACAGAGATTCACAGCAAAAGAAGATCGATCAATCAATAGCATCATCATCATCATCATCCGTGCAGAATTAAAACAGTGCAGAAAATCTACCAATTCACCAATCTATATCTATGGTTACGGACACTTATGCCTCCTGTTTAGAAGACAGAGTAGTATTTATACTGACCGAATCAGGTGGTGTAAGAGCAAAGGGCGTCACTGTTGACCTTAGAGATTCAGGTCCCTCAGAATTAATTCTCTTACATAATGTATCGCAGTTGCTTATCACCTCCGTCAACCTTCCTTTAAGCTCCCCAAGCTCCACCTGCAACCCATGAACTAAAAGTATCTCCACCGGTTAATTAAGTGGAGAATGCAGTCCCATCTATCTTGTACACTGAGACAATATCTAGGTACCTTGAGATAAATGCTGGGAAGTTGTCCTCATTGCAGAAACTGAGTGGTTAAACCTCTGTACAAGTTTAGTCGCCAAAGCATCTGCCACTTCTATCTTGTTTTCTATATCTTCCTATATTACATGATGCAGCAAGTTATATTTCATCTCCCTTAACATAGCTACACCAAGGTGTTACAAAACCAAAATTTTGAGAAGAAAAACGGATTTCTCAGTTGCAAGTCACACAAATATTGAGCCTAAGAAAATGGGAATCATTTCCCAATGATAAAAGGCAGACCTGTCTCTTGGTTATTTCTTGAGCTTTGCTCTCTTGCCATTCACGGTAGATGGAGAAGAGCTCTACAAGTATCTGAGGATCCACAGTATCTGGGAAACAGTTGATAATTACAGCAAGAAATTAGACTGGGAAAAAAGGAGAGGTTTATGATCAAAACCGAAAACAAAAGCAAAAATATTTCTTCTCTGAATCAGTTCTCTAATTTAAGCAATTGTTCACCAATATGTTACACAAAAAATAATAACATATCCGTCTGACTAAAATAATCGCGGCGGGTTCAGAAAACAAATAGATATCAAACTCACTGGAAGAGGAACTCGACAAAGCTTTTCTCACTAAGATGTCCGTTAAGCTACTTTCCGTGGGAGGTGACTTCAATATCGGTGTGCTCTGCAAATAACAGGAAAACCCATCAACAAGGTATTATCTAAATATAGATTAAGCAAAAAACCCTAATTTCGATCTGGACGAACTCGAAAACCAGAATAAAAAAAAAAAAGGGAGTAACTCACAACTGTGAGAGATTTAAGATTCTCGAGAACGGGATCGACTATTTCGGATCGATGAGAGATGGTCGTAATCACATCTCCACCTCTCTTTTCCTGAAAGCCCATGAAAAGTAATTCAATATAGAGAATCGGAGGACTAACCAGGATGGCTCAAGGATCAAATCGCGAATTGTCAAATTACCTGAGCGCCTAACAGCGTTGAATCTGATGCTCCCATATGATTCACAACCGCCGAACAAACTTCTGAGAAGAAATTTTATCCAAAACTTGGAATCAGCTGGTCGGGAGAATCAAAGGAGAGAATTCTTCAACTTACAATCCGCCAAAGGAGGAGGAGGAGGAGAAAGCAAGATGACGTTTCGGGCATTTGCAAGCCAACAGCGTGCCGTTTTAAGGCGGATATATGTTATCAAACAGATGCACGAAACGGCACATCGTCGGATAATTTAGATTGGGGAGACAAAGCATGAGTAACACAAAGTCACAAACCATGCTTTACCGCGCATGGTAGACAAAGCCCATATAAAATGTGCCCACCTTGAGCCCACTTTATCTACTAAGTATGTAAATAGTAAATACCTTCTTTTGGAAAACATTTTATATATAAAAAAAAAAAAAAAAAAAACAAAGTTACTGATACATTATATGAAACCCCAGTAAGTGTAGAGTATATATATCTTATTCGACTCTCACCTTCTGTTTAACCATCGAAAATATATTCCTTGAATTTATAAGGACCATATTCCATATATATAAATCTACATTACGACGACGTCTCTTATGCATGCATGCATAGAACGGTTTATATGCTATAATAAGACCTCAAAAAGCCAATTTAGTCTTGGCCACTCATCAAGAATTGAGTCGCCACGAACTTATCAAGCGATCTCCAATCCGTGATCCTCTTCTCATCTTCCAGCGCGCGTGTACTCTGACGTGCCATTTCTGGTAACTTGTCTGAGGGAAGAGAGGGGCTCTCTAGTTGAGGAAGCTGAGAGAATTGATCATCGTCGATGGAGTGAAGGTGCATAGAGCCCAAGTCTTCATCATCGACGATGTGCTTAAACGGTACTGTGACGGCGAAATCAGTGTTATGTTTGGCACGCTTTAAGACGTTCTTGTCGAGAGGTTCCAAGAGGGTAGCGTCGTAGAAGAAGCAGTTTGGATCCCAAAGTCGTTGTCTTCTTTTTGTCGGGACGGTCGATCGTTTCTTAAATGCTCTACACACTACCCATCCTTCTTCCTGCTTCACCATTTATAATCCACATCATTCAATAACTGGGTTTTTTTTTTTGTTCATTTACATTTCGGACCAAGAAAGAGACACGCGCGCACAAAATTAGAGCCTACATATACATGAATTAGAACACTTGATTTTTTTAAATAGGGGGGGGGGGGGGGGGGGGGGCTAGTTATAACTTATAATATGGTCTAAAACGGTGAAAACTGGTATATAAGTTGATAGAAAAAGTAGTGCGAGAAATTAATTAATAAGAATTGGATAAATAGGGGTGTTATTTACCTGTGGAGGAGAGTAATTCTGGTGGGACTCGAGGCTGTAGTATTCGTGGATGATCCAATCGGATTTTTGGCCGTTAGGAGCTCGACCACGGTAAAAGACAAGAGTCTTTCTCATACCGATAAGTTTGGAGTTGAGGTAAACGGCCTTGTCCCGGCCCGTGGCTTTCCAGAAACCGGCCACGGTGGCTCGGTTAGTCCTCGTCCCTGTCGGATACTTCTTGTCTTTGTGGCTGAAGAAGTACCACTCCTTCTGTTCGTACCCTATCTTACATCTCTCTACACGTATAACCAGTATATGATCATATATATATATAGGTTGCGCATATAACTCTTTCAGATTACAAATTCTATGATTAGCATTATGTGGATCTACAGTTTTGATAGCACATGGCGTGGGTGATGGTTTAATTTCCTTGCTTGGATCGGATATGTAATTGGTGTCGGTTTATTCATGAGTTATCAAAACCCTAATTTCCCCTTTGACCTGTCTAGATGTAGTCTTACTTATAGACTAGATATATGTATACATGTATACGTATATATATACATATTATATTGGATTGTGAAGTATACAGGAGAGAGAGAGAGATATACCTTGTAAATCCCATGGTTCGATCTTGTAGAGATCAATTTCTCTGATTACGTCGAGATCAATCTTTTGGGATGCGACTTTCTTCTTGAGATAATATCCAACAAGCTCTTCGTCTGTCGGATGAAACCTAAACCCAGGCGGTACACTAGACGACTCTTGATCCAACCCCATCATCTCTTGATAATATCTTCAATTAAGTGTTTATATTTCGTGGTTTCTTCTTGATCGAAGACAGATCGATCATAGAAGAAACCTTGAGCGACTCAAAAACAGAATGAAAGTCGTAGCGAAGACATTAATTAGGTATAGAAAAGAAAGACATGGACTGTCCACTAAAATGACGACGTGTGTGTGTTTAGACTTCAGATCGAGTGTAATCATATGCTCATTTCGCGTTGGCCTCACTCACCACCACTTCATCTCTGCGTGTGTATATATATGCACATGTATTTAT